CAAAAAGGGGATTATGGCATATAATTCACGTGCCCAGAAAACGTAGATTCCCCCAAAAACATGCCGCATTTTTCTGACATATTTCGCCTTTTTCGCAACGAACTGAATTTTCGGTATTCTTAGATGGTATTTTGACAAACAGATGCGCTTCCCGGACGGTCAAATTTTGACTTCATAGCCCTTTAAAACCATACCTGGGCATTAGGTGCAAAATTATGTTTCGGAAAGCAAACATCATCCCTGTGGAAGTTTCGGTTTAATGGGTCAAGCGGAGCAAATTTAAATCAAAATAAAGAAGAATTTCGAAAATTTTGAAAACGGGGGAACTTAATCTTGGACTACTTACGTGGGCCGCTGCGTAATCTCGATTCCTCATCGGCTTGCTTAAAAAATGTTTCCCTTCAAAACCAAGCTGCTGCCATCTAATTTCCCAGAATTTGGATACAATACCGGCCGGATAATTGGTTGTATCTTATCCTTGCGAATACATAGTTTTTCCGCCTGAAACCTAGCTAAATACACTAAAAAACTAAGAATATATCTAATGCCATATCGTAGGCGTTTCTGAACTTCATTGCAACAAATTCAAACAAAAACAGGAAGCATTTTTTCATAATAAATGTTTCATTTTTAACGGATAAAAAAATTACCTTTTAATTCTTTTTATTCGTTTGCCTGAAATCAGTTGCTAAATTGACAAATTTTGGATGTGATAAAATTAATTTACAAAAAACTTGAAAATCGATGAACTTGGCGCGTGGCCAATTCCATCGCCCGTCTTCACCCTCATCACCCGCCCGCACCCCACTTTGCATACTTAAGCGAGAGCCCTGAATAACTAAGTGATATTTTCGCTGGCAGAAAAGGAGTTATGGACTCCCTAATGTCTTTTTATTGTTTTTAGTATTTAGCACGTTAATGTCTTTTTTATTTCTTGCGGCAAAATCATTGTTTTTCGGGCAGATTGGCAGTACTTTTAAAGAAAACGGTGTTTCACGTCTTCTCATACTAATTTTGTTTTGACACTCTTTTACTTGCTCCTTGATGTGTGATAAAATCTATAGGAAAAGCTCCCAAAATTTGTCTGCGACACGCAACGCGCACGCCCGCCTTTCGATTGCGTAATCGGTTTCATCCGAATCACATCGGCGCGGCTGCGTGCGCGTTGCGTGTCGTGGCCCGGAAAATTAAGGCGCAGACTATAACCGGTCCAAGCCATAAATATACCAGGTCGATCCTTTTATAGAGATCTACGTACTGAATTATTAAAAAAACTTATGTAGCAGTACTTTTCATGAAACATAAAATCTTCAAGCCAAAGTTATTTCTACATTTAGGCCCTAAAACCTGGTGATTCACTCTTTGGAATCCTCATCATTAATCTGAAATGGCTATTATGATTCTCTTCTCGTTGCTAATATTTTCCATTCCATCGTCGAAAATTTAAAAAAATCAGTGGCGGCTTGCAAGGGCCATTAAAGGGACGGGCATGGCGTCGTGTGCATTTTTTTCTTATGTATTTCGCTGCGCGTCCACACGCGGCGCGCACGCCTGCTTTTCGATTGCGTAAGCGATTACACCCCCTCCACGGCGATGCGACGGCGTGTGCGTCGCGTGTCGCGCACGCAGAAAAATTCCTAGGATATTCGGTGGTGAACCTGAGAATGCTGGCATTTTCATTTAGGTTCATCAGGGTCGAAGGAAAATCGCCACCGTCTCCCCTTCCCGCCTATCCCCCTAAGAATCAGAAATCTGCTTGGGAAATTCTGCGTACGCGGCAACACGTATTGCTTGATGGGCGACTAGCTTTTCCAAGTAATTTTCATGAAACACGATTTTACATCGCCAAGGGTGCTTCCACTTCACGATTTTTCACATGCTAAAAATTAATGATTCATTTTTTCGGCAGCATAAACTTTATTTGGGAATGGCTATTATCGTCGATTCATTATGCCATTTGCTTGCTAAAATTTCGCATTCCATATTACTCAAAAATTTCGAAAAACTGTCAAATCTTGTTTTCAAAGACCATTAAGCGTACGGGCGAGCCATCGCACACATTTTTTAGCTACTACCTGCTATGTATTTCGCCGAACCTCCACACGAACGCGCACGCCCGCATTTGCGTTTGCGTAATTAATTACACGCGATCCACGGCGATGCGACGGCGTGCGCGTTGCTTGTCGCGGCCCGGAAATTCCATAAGAAATCCATAGCCTGGAAAGGGCCTACCGGTTTCTTTAAAGAAATTGATTCCGATGCATCAACAAACTTTAATGCATTATGCAAAGAAATCGCGTTGCGTGTCGCGACGTGGCAAGTTCACGGAAAAACTAGCAGCAGGAAATCGAGAAAAATCCCTTCTCCGTCCCTTTAGAACGAGCCCGGCAACAAATATGACGATTACTTGAGCTGAGCTATTTTCCGGACAGCCCATTTCCGGTTTCCGGGCACTCGCCTTTTTTTACGGCCGCTATTATGCTACCACGATTTTTGCCCTCAAGGCATTGTGAGCCTATTTTTATTGCTGTGGCGCTTTTTCCTAGTTTGTGGTTTTTAGCAAATGATGTTTCATATAAAATATTGGTACTGCCATCCTGTATTTTTTTAATAGTTGGATAAAGTTAGCACGGTAGTCAATTTTTCGGCCATTTTTTAATTGTTGATGCTTACTGGAAATAATGTTTCAAAGAATTCCTGCACTTCCCGAACATCGGCTCATTTAATCGATTGCTTTGCGCTCGTCCATCGCTAGCCTTTATGATATTTTTTCAGCTCGTTGCCCACATTTTTTTTGAAAACTAACGTATGAAAAACCTAGTTCATTACCGCAATCCTGATTTTTCTTAAATATAGCGTATTTATGCAGCTGGGTTTGGGTTTTGGGTTTTTACTTTTTTGTTGGCGTTCTTTAGAAAATAATGTTCCGAAAATTTCACAGTTAGGCTTGAGTATTTCAAGAACAATTTATTCAGTTGAATACTTGCCTTTAATTTGATTTCTCAAATTGTGGTTTCTTTTGAATGATAGTTTTCAAAAGAATGCTCTGCGATTATTACATTTTTATTCGGAACCAACTAATGTTTCATCGAACGGGCAATACCACTAGATTATTTTTGAAGGCAATTGAAAAACATACTTGCATCACCGTTAAACTTTCACGATGCGGTCACGTTGCGGCCGTATCTGGCCATTTGCTAGGAATCAACGCCTGGGGGGGTGGAGCAGACTTCTCAGGCCCTTTAAATGTCTCCTTAGGCCCGGACCCGGATCTGTTATTTATTTGGGGCGTCCTAAGAAAAGCTTTTCGCCTTTTCCAATTTCTTTTCTTTTCCTGGTGGGTCCATTCGGATGGCCATCTGTTCCCCCTTTCTTTCCGCTTCTCGGCTTCTTCTTTTCTTTTTGTCCTTTTCCTTGAGAAGCCTCTGTTTATAATTTGGGCTCCCTCCCTCCCATCCGCGTGCGCGAGCGTGAAAAAATTTCACTACACTCCGCCTTTCACGCCTCCGATATTGTAGATATTTTTTGTTTCGAAATTTTGGAAAATTTAAGTTCATGCGAATTTGGCACTCTGTATTCAAAATATGTTTCATATTTGTTCGGTACAGCGCGATTTCTTAAAGTTCTAGTGACTCTGCCCTTCTGATCATTTTCAATCATTTTCTTCTGGACTCCGGCTTTTCTCTCCACAATCCGAAAAGTTTATGAAAAGCGAAATTAGCGCAGTATCCGAAAAAGTTTGTGCGCGTAAAAATATTTTTCATTGCTGTGCAGTTTCTGCAAACTTTCATTGAATCAAATGCAGTTTTTTTGCTCTCGCACTCTCTCTCCCTCGCTCTCTCTCTCGCTTGCGCTCTCTCACTCTCTCTAAATTCTCTCGCTCTCGCTCTCTCTCTCTTTCTCTAACTCTGCCTCTCTCTCGCCGTTCACCAAAGATAGATGTAGCAAACCCCTCGAAATTTTGTGTTTCCAACTTCCGCTTGATAGCATGTCTTAACGTGATAAAAAGATGTTTCGTACTTGCGTCTATCGCGTTTTCTCCTTTCGCAAAATATATTCCAAAAAAAGTGTTTCTTCTTACTTGAAAATTCATAATTTCCTATAAATTTTAGTCAACGCAGATTTCCATTTTTAGGAAAAACGAATTTAGGAAAAATGAATTTAGGAAAAATGAATTAGGGAAAATGCTTTTTAGGAAAAATGAACACAACCCATTTCATATCTTGCTAAAATTGCCCAGCTTTCCGCAAATTTTACTAGACAAAACATGTTTCGTATTTAGCCTTGCTTTTACGTCTTAGCGTTATCGAAGACGTCTTTGATTGCTTTGGCCGTTATGCCTTGTCATAAGTCTAATTTTTAATTGTATGAAAAATGAATTTTAACTTTCTATTTGGAGTCAAAAAAGGAAAAGTCAAAATTTTTCAAATTTGAAACTTTTTTCGTCTTTGCCTATCGGGCGAGTTATAATAAGCATCTTTCAAAGCAATATAATCTCCGGCAATTATTTGACACTGGAATATGTCAGGTTCGTCTTCTTCGTTCTAATTTTTGAAAAAAAAAGTTTTCGGTCTTACTAAATCTTTTTAATTTTTGAGTGTTTTTAATGCAGGCTTTTTAGTCCATCCTTATAATGTTTTCCAAATTATTTCAATTACTGTAATTATTATTGGGATTAATTTATTAGAATTACCATAATTTACAGGACGTGCTGATCGGAATAATGTTGTTAATTTTTTGCACAATTTTGTGTTTTTCTGACTTTATTAAAAAATGTTTCATGTTTAGTCCAATTTCTGCATTTCTTGCTGGTCCCAATTGTCCCTATGGATCGTCTGATTCCTGATGCTATTATTCGTTCATTAACTTCATGTCATTTATAAAAGTTGAAAAATTAAACAGTTATATAAAATTATGCTTATTATTTCTGCCCTAGAATGTTTTCTAATTTTATATATTGGTTATACGGCTTTTTATCCACCTAATTTTAGGATGCGGTGATGGTTGCGTCGCGTGTGAAGGCGTCGTTGCGTTGCGTGCCCCTCATTGGGGTACTGCTGTGCCTCTCAGCTGTCGCTGTCCCTTTAAACGCCTCCGCCCAGGCGGATGATGCTCAATGCGCGGGGGCGAAACCCTGCCAGCCGGGCCTCATCTTGCCCGTATGGATGCCGCAGGTAACATGACAAATATTAGAATTTCGCGGACAATTTGTTGCAATATTTTTTGTGAAACATCATTTTCATAACGCCAGAAAAGTGGTGACCGAGTCGGGGCTTTTGCTTTGCATATATATATAATTTAGGCGCTTTAGCATTATAAGGGGGAGGAGGAATTTTTGAATACGGTTAGAAAAGCTTGGTGACGCAATAATAAGCATTTATTTGATTTTTTAGGAAGATTTAGGTAAACTTCTAGCGGAAAAAACGTTAATTATGTTAAAACGGAACACGGAATATTCCAAACCTCGACTATTATCGGGGTGGGGGGGAAGCGGATTTCAGCGGGACAAAGCTTGTTTTGACGTTTTTGTCTATTATTAATATACATTTTATTGACAATACCTTTTTGTTTTACCTGTTTATATAGCTGTTTCGTATTTTTATAGTGCTTTTAGCGGTTTTTGGTCTCTAATTTGTAATAAATTAGTTATTTTTTAAAAATTAGAAATTTATGGGCTAGGGGCGAATTTGATACGTTTCTACGACAACCTTAAAAATTTGCGAACTTTTGAATTTAAAACCGTATTTTAATTGCTATAAAAAATGATTATATTTTATTAAAGGGCCGGTGGGTTTTGGAAAAGTGTGTTTCTTCCATTTAAAAATTCCCCTGCCCCGCTAATAGTCTAGTGGCGCAAAATCATGCCGGAGCAAAACACTCACAGGGTCATTTCTCTAATTTTCCTAGTAAATTGGCTAACCTCCAAATATGGTGGCAAAACCATGAAACATGAAAAGATCAAAAGACAAACTGATTGATTTCTTTATTATGTTTTCCTGTCGATTTTGTCATTTTTAAATTGCAGGGCAATCTGCCGCAATGCACAATCTTCATCCGGGCCACCGTATACTTTATCGCTCTCGGCTACATGTTCTACGGCGTCTCCATCGTGGCTGACCGGTAAGTACCGGAATTTAAAGGGGCTGGCCAGGCAAGTTAGGCTTAGGTTTAACTCCTTCATAAGTCTTCTATTTGCGTTCACCATTTTGTTAAAAACCCGATTTATCGACAGTACGCCACGGATTTAGCGGAAAATTCACGCAAGCAATCTTTACACCGGCTTTTCGTAAAATTGAGTGTTTCGTCTAGAAGCCTTGCCAAGGAAACTTCTCGCTATGGATTCCAGCTCACCTTCTATAGGGTAATACTTCCAGGAACATACTATGGACTTGATCAAATCGCGTACCTAATCTTGGCTAAACCACTGCACTTCCTGCTCCTAAAAATTCTCTAGAAAATTTGACGAAATTCTAATTCTATTTCCTAACTTATAGAGACAGGAAGAATGGAATTCAATGAAAGAAGAATTTTTTAGTGAAAATGCATGTTGGTTATCCTCGTTAAGAAACTGGTTTTAGCTACAGTACGCCACGGATTTAGCGTAAGCTTATTGGCGTCTCAGAAAGAAGGTCGATTCAACTTTTTCCGAAAAATTGAGTGTTTTATCTAGAAGCCTGGTTATGGCAAGTTTTTTCCATTCATTCCAACCAAATGCTTCCAACAACAAAGTAGCATCTTCATGAAACCGTGTATCTATTATTTACTCACAGCACTAAATTTCCTGCTGTTAAAAAATGGATCGAAATTTTGACCAGATTTGATTTCTATTTACTAAATTACAAAAACACGAAGAATTGCGAGAATAGGACGTTTATTAGTCAAAAATGAATCTTGCTTATTCTTGTTAAATACCTGCTTTATCTACAGTACGCCACAGTTTTAGCGTAAAATTATTTCCATTTCGGGTCCGAGCCTCTTTATCTCCATCGTGGCAGACCGGTAAGTACCGGAATTTAAAGGGCCAGGCAAGGCAAGTTATGGTTAGGTTTAACTCGCTAATAAGTCTTGTTTTTGCGGTCATCATTTTGTTAAAACCTGAGCAATATACAGTACGCCACGGATTTAGCGGAAAATTCAAGCAAGAGCTGGATCTTTACACCGGCTTTTCGTAAATTTGCGTGTTTCGTCTATAAGCCTTGCCGAGGCATTTTTCTTCGAGTGATTCGAACGAACCTCCTATCGGTTAACACTGCAGTAACAAAGTAGCATCTTAGTTAAACCACGTATCTAATATTAGCTAAGCACCCAATTTCCTGCTCTCAAAAATATGATAAAAAATGTGACAAAATTTTAATTCTATTTCCTCAATTATAGAGACACGAAGAATTGCGAGAATAGCATTTTTGATGAAAAGTGCATGTCGATTCTACTGGTTAAAAACCCGATTGCTCTACAGTACGCCACAGTTTTAGCGTAAAATTATTTCCATTTCGGGTCCGGGCTGGATTTAAAAAACCATATATTTTGTCCCGAAAATCAGAATGTTTCCTCTATAAGCCCTGCCACGGGATTTTTTTTTCTCTATTGATGTCATTGAGTCTCCTGGTGGGTACCCTAAAATCCCGAGTTTAGTTCCGGGTGAAACGTACGTAGCGTCCGTAGTTCCGTCTGACCGTAAATAGGCGTGTTTCGTTTTTCGGTTTCTTGCAATTAACCCCCATTCACGAAAGGTATTTTTGCAATTTCAGTGGAAGATTTGCTCACATTTCGACTATTTCCAGCTTTTTTAAGTGGTTTAATGAAAGAAATTGATGCAGGAATTCCTAAATGTTTTTGATTAATTTAATTTTCATACTCACAATAACTCTTTTTCAGGTTCATGGCCGCCATCGAGGTGATCACCTCACAAGAGCGGGAGGTGAAACGCCACAAGCCCGTCACTGGAGAACCGGAAGTTCGATTGATACGCGTCTGGAATGAGACCGTGTCGAATTTGACGCTAATGGCGTTAGGTGGGTTTTTTAAATTAAATTAAATCAAAACATTAAATTCTCGATTTTAAGGTTTTCAACAGATACGGCAAATTCCTTTGAAATTATTGCATTTTACTGCCGTTTTTCGATAAGTTTCGGTGAAACATTTTTTTTGGAAAAAATTCCCGCAGAAAAAATAAAAATAGAGCAATCGATTCGCAGGAAAATACCAAATTTGGGTTTGGCAAGCTAGTAGAAATCATTGGGGAGCTGCTCTCTAGAAAATTTTCATGAAATAAAAAACCCGAATATACGCACGATTTCTCTAGACTTTACGTCTAAAGTAAGGTGTGTCGGTGGAATCGGGAGGATTGATCTTTTTCAAAAAAATTGATAAAATCTAGAACAATTTAAAATATTACTTCCTGAGCCAGTACTCCAGCTAAGTATTATTTATTAAAAATCCTCTATCGCGAATCTATTGGTGAATCTAATTCTCTGAATACTGAAAACTATCTGAAACAACCATTTTCCAGGCAGCTCGGCGCCTGAAATCCTCCTTTCCGTCATCGAAATTTTCGGCAACAATTTCGAGGCCGGTGACCTGGGTCCCGCGACGATTGTCGGATCGGCCGCCTTCAACCTGTTCATCATCATCGCCATCTGCATTTTGGTGCGTGTTGGTGCTTTTGCATTATGGGGGGGGGGGGCGGAGTGGGGCTTTTCCTCGAGTCCAATTTGGCTAATATCAATTGTTGCTAAACTATTTTTTATTATTAGTAAACGTAAAAATTCCACAAATTTGGATTAAAAAAATACAAAATAAAACAATATGAAACCAACCAATATAATATAAAAAACTTCCAGCTTTTAAAAATTCATTTGAGTTCTCGGTAGTTTTCCACTTTAAATCAGTTAAATAGAACGAACAAAGAGTCTAAAATGCTTAGCAATTTCATTAGGATTTTTTGGCTTCTAGGTAAAACCTCCCCCCCGCTAACGCGAAAGAACCTGAGGTTTTGGCTAGCCTGGGCAGTGAGAATTTGACTAGTTTATACCGCCCATATAACGCAATCGGAATCATCTTCGGACTGCCTAATAGTCGGCAACTCGTTTCACGTACCTAGTAATTTTTATGAAACATTTATTTTTAACCCGCTGATCCGAAAAAATGTCTATCAACTATTTTTGTATTTAAGAACATACATAACGATATACGTAAAATATTTTCTTTAACAAACTTACGCAGATGCAGCTCCAAATCCAGTAGCCGTTCCAGTTGTAAATTCGACAAAAAAAACGATTTTGATAATTGTAGCATTCCATTTTACAAAATTGGGCCGAGAATCACCAAGATCGATAAATTTGGACCCGTCTAGGGCATTACGACATGTAATTCATGTAAAAATCCTTGAAAATATCCCGTTTTTCTCAAATTTTTGCGCTGAAACGAAATCCATTTGCCGGCGCTTTTCCAGTATCGTTTTAGTTTTTTTCAAAAATAGAAAAATTAATTCAAAATTAACAAAAAACACCGAAAATTAATTAAATACAAATTCATTTTCGCCTTTTTCCGCTTTGCGATTTCTTATTCTGTGTTTTATACATCGCCTGTAAGAAACGCAGCTTTTCACGTTTTTTTATGGACGTATGGCCTGACTAAATTAAGGAGCATCTCATTCGTATTATTTGGGAAAATGCGGAAACATTCATTTCATAAGATTTTTGCGAGTTCCGTGAGAATGAAATTTTTGTTGCCGGTATTAGGCTTAGGCTTAGGCTTGGGCATAGGCTTAGGCTTTGGCTTCACTTAGGCTTAGGCTTAAGCTTAGGAAATTCGAAATTTGTAAGAAGGAAATTTTTGTTGGCGGTATAAAAAGCTAGAAATGCTAAGTAACTTAATCGGAATTATTTTAATGGTGTTTTTCGTACAATGCAACTATATTTCAACTAGACAAAATTATCTAAAACTTTCAAACTTTATCAAACGTGGCCATTTCGACCCGGACAAAATTCGTTTAATTTTTGTGTTCTTTATCGAAAATTTGTGAGTTTTTACGTTTAGGCATAGTAAAAACCGTTTAGAAACATCTTGCTCATTTAAATAAGAAATTTTATTGCAATCCGACGAGACATTAAAGGCCCAAGTCACACTATGGACTTTAATTTTTGACGAAACACCTTGATTCACAGTTTTTTTTAAATTTTTATCTTGCTACAAAGGTATTTTAGATTAATGATTAATCAAAATAAAATTACAATCATTTGCTATATTTTATCTATATTTTAACTAGAAAAAGCATCTAATAGTTTGAAAATAAAAAAATAAAACAAAATCAAAACTCGAGATTTTGATAAAAAACGGCCATTTTATCAAAAAAAAAACCAATTTTTTGTATGTTTTACCAAAAGTTTGTAAAGTATTTACGTTTAGACGTTTTACAACGGTTACGAATCACTGCGCTTATTTAAAACAGAAAAATTGATGACCGCAAGTGACATTCGAAGCCCTATTAAAGACCCAGATAACACTGTGTTGAGTATTTGTGGTGTAACACATTGTCACAATTTTTTTTTGTTTGAATTTTCTACGACTACGATTATTACGATTAAATAATTAATCAAAAGTAAAACAACTTTCATTTTTAAGAAAATTATTTCCTTCTTTTTTACAGGCCATCCCCTCGGGCGAGGTGCGTCGCGTGCAGCACAATCACGTCTTCTGGGTTACGGTGCTCTGGTCAACGTTTGCGTATGTTTGGCTGTACCTCATCCTGTGCGTCTTTTCGCCGGATGTTGTCGAGGTGGGTTTATTGGATTTAATTTTCAATGGATTTAAATTTGGTTTAATTAATTAATTTAATTAAATTGAATAATCAATTAAATTTGGTTTAATTAATTTAAATTAAACGGCAGGGTTTTGTATTGTTTTATTATATTGTAATGGAAAGGTAAAAGAGCACCCGCTGATTTTTTGAAAATAGCCTTTAAAGTCTAACAACTGTTAATCAAATTTTTGGCCATGAAGTGCTGCCTATTAGACGCAAAAACTTCTCACGATTCCGAAAAATACTTGAAACACATTTCTTTTTAGCAGCTTGTCAGTTTACCGCTACCCTTGGTTAATAAGCTCAAATTTAATGTTTAGATTCTTGAATTCACTGGCTAATTTAAAAAAGAACATGAAATTATAAATATATAAGTTAAGGTCATAAACTTTTTAATTCAGGGGCTGAAAGCCGAAAAATTTCGTGGAAAACCGTCAAAACTCGCACAAGAACCTAGTCGATAATATTTATTGTTTTAAAACAATTCCAGCGATCTCCATAGGGCCTCAAAAATAATATTTATAACCAAATTATAAATTTAAATGGAATTCGATGAACAACGGAAACCACTGGTATTACCAGGTTTAATCGTCGCATTTGATTGTGTAATGCAGAAACACACATTTTGTTCGAAGGTTTCAGAAAACCAGGGTTCGACAAAATGATTTAGGTTGGTTAAATAACACGATAATATGGCGTAATTATTCTTCTAAAATTGCCTACAATGAAGGTATTGACATCAAGATTAAACCAAAAAATCAATAGAGTTACAAGCAAAAATGCCGCCCATTTTGGTGTAAGATCGACCGCGTTGGCTTAATTTTGATGAAACACAGAAAATTTTCGGGTAAGTTCATAAATCGGGTGTGAAAAACCACGGAACTCAAATGACCTTCCAAAGAAATTTTTTGAAGCGCAGGAAAATTAATAATTAGATCCAAAATCCAATCCAAGGAAAATTTTAAAACTACAAAATTAAACTTCCAGGACAACCAGCATTAAAACGATCCATTTTTCTGAATGAGGTGACTTTCATAAAACACACTAATTTTACGCAGGTTTCAGAAGGCGCGCAACCCAAAGAATAAATTACTCCATTAACGACTAAAAATATTCTTAAAAATAGGAACGGTTCTGATAGCTGATGATGATAGCACCATGAGGCCAGAATTAAGGATAATGCAAAGCCACGATCATGCCTGATTTCATGAAACACACGATTTTTCAGGTGTGGGAAGGAGTGCTGACATTCGTGTTCTTCCCCCTAACCGTCGCCTCGGCCTATTTCACCGATCAGCATGGAGGAACGTTTGGAAGGCGCTTCTTCACTGGTCAGTTTTACAAGATAATACTTCTTGGTCCTTTGGCATTACCGGGGGGGTTCTTTTTGTCCTTACGTTCCAGTTTTTTATAGATACAGACTTCTTGCTTGTAATTTCCAAACGTTTTTTATACTATCAATGAGGTATTATAATCATTATAATTTTACCAATAAAAATAGAGAAAATAAAATATTTATTTTTCCACCAGAATTTTAAAATTTCAAAAACTTTTTAAGCTTCGGATAATACGAACTAAGAATATAGTTACCTTTATTACAAACATAATAAAGAAACGCGACGAGGAATTTTTCCTTTAATAAAAAAAGACTGATTAAAAAATCCCAATCCTTCAAATTGAAGCACCGCACCGACAGCGTTGCTTTAAACTTTTTGTGAATCACGTTTTTTTCTCCCGGAAATTTCGTATTTTTAAATTATTAATTAAACCTAACTTTTGTTGTTTTAATTAAGAAATAATGAAAATTAAATAAATTAAATAAGACTGGATGGATTTCGCTGTTCCGAATTGCTTAACACTATTAGGAAGGTTTGTGATTCGTTAACAGGAATTTTGCCCTAGATTGGGTAAAAAATTGGTTTAAATAAGTTACGCCAGATGCTAAAGCATTAATGAAAGCTGTGCGCCCATAGCGTTCTTTTAAATTTTTTGAAACCAATTTTTTTTCGGTGTAAATCCAATGAGAAACTTTTTCGTTTTTCTAACTGCTAGAGTAATAACATTTTTTTTAAAAATGCCTACCAGGGACACATTGAAATGCATAATTTAGTTTTGCTGTTAGTCCGCTTACCCTATTTTATTTAGCACCCCTCCAGTCGATCCGTGGCCGCCGGCGCTCCCCGACGCACATCCCGAAAAATCGTGGCGGTGGCTCTGGCAAGGACGCGTAAGTTTTACAAGGATATCTAATAATATTATTATGATAATAGTACCAGTTAATAGAAGGTAACGAGAAACCCATAAAAATCCCTTTGAAAAATAATGTATCGGAAAAATTTAAAACTAGAGAAATTTTTTGTGGTTTAATTGGACGACATGCCCATAAAAATTATCAACAGATCAAATATTTTGCATCTCTTTAAAACATTGATAAATTCTTATCCTTAAACTATGGAAAGCGTAGGTTCAAATTTCATTTTAGTAAAACAAATTTACTAAAACTAAAAAAAGTGCATTTTCTGTAGTGATCTAATCAGCGAGAGGTAAAGCAAATATATCGGGTTTGAAATATTATTTTATGTCAATTCCGTATTAAGAAATATGCCACTATCAATGTCGTAAATCTATTTTTCCCGAAAAAAGTGAATGCACATAAATGTTTGATATCGAATTAATATATACCGTGCGTGGATATAACCAATTATTGCTCGGGGTGTGAATTGATTTAAAGGGATTGTCAAGGCAAAGCTATCGATTTTTAACTATGGATTTTCATAGTTAAAAACATAAAATGCATTTTCCGCGCCGCGACACGCAACCCAAACGACGCCTTACGTCCTTTAACGTATCGTAATCGATTACGCGATGGAAATCCGGACGTGCGCGTTCCGGCGCGGCAAAATTCAACGAAAATTCACAGCCAAAATCGATCATCCTGCCTTGCAAGTCCCCTTCAAAAGTGTATAAATTTTTTTATTTTTTTAGCGCTCAACTGCTCAGCCATTCGGCCCCCGACCCGGAAGCCGTCGCTTTTGAGGAGCACCGGAAACAGTATCTGGAGGTAATTTTTCCTGAGTGAACCGCACATTAGTATGGCAGAACTGCGGCGCAATAGGGTAATTGACTGAAACATACTTTCTTTGAGTCGCCATATTTACTAGGTGAGAGTTTACTTTACCTCCCCCCCCCCGCCCCAGAGCCGAAGGGTCTCAAGGTTTTCGGGAGTTTCGCTGATTTTGTCGGGATTTTGCAACGCCATTCGATAAAGCGTCGAAAAATATACTAAGCGTTTTAATTTGAGCCTACAAGAAATGAAAATATAAAAATGAAAAAGTATAACCAAAAACTTCCGGCTCGGGGGGGGGGGGGGGGGGGGGAAGTAAAGTGTAGCCATATATTACCAACCACTAACCACAGAGGATTAATAGCCTGAACATTTCCCAAGTATTGAATCTATTTGAAACATTTTTGTTAAAATGGTGCGAGGGCTCATGGACCACTCGAGTTCTCAGGGTAACTGGAGGGTATTTTCTGGTCAGAGAATAGAGGCCATTTGTGAAGCGAAGCTTTGATTAGCAAATTTAATTCATAGAAACACTTGTTAAGGTAATCGGTTACCAGTATTGAAGGAGGCATCATCCGCAAAGTCTTTAGCTCAATAGTGTAGCTGCTTGAAACATACCTTTCTCAAGATTTTTATGTACTTTGCAAAAGACATATTTATTATGCCCAAATGCTGGCGCAGTATGGGGAAAAACACATTCCTTATGTAACCGTGCTTTCGATGATTTAAATAAATCAAAAACTTAAGACTTTTCAAAAATAGCCATTAAGAAATAAGAAAAATTAGGAAAATTTTACCGATTCGATTGCCGCATTAGTGTGGCGGAAAGTCGACTCAATAGCGTAATAGATTGAAACATATTTTTTAAGGTTTTGGAGATGATTTACCAGCTTCAATGAAATAACTAGACTTTACTTATTTGGAACAAATTCTGTGGACTATCTCTTTACCCGGTATAATAAATGAATGAGAGTCGAAACCCATTTGGCCGCAATTCATTTTGTCGAAATTTCTCTTGGACGAAAACCAGAATACCGAAATTTAATATAGTGAACTCATCGTAAACTACACCAGAAAAAGCCGCGGAAACAAAAAATACCCGAAAATGAACTGACTTTCGACAAAAGAATTTTCGCACCATTAGTTCCGACGAACCGAAAATAAGCCATTTTAAAAATAAACAAACCGTTCGATAATCGGTATGATGATGTATGTTAATAAAAAGCATTGTGGTTAATTGATTGAAACATACCTTTCTAAGGCTTTTTATGTACTTTGCAAATGGCACTATTATTGCGCAAGGTGGGGGAAGACATGTTTCTTATGTAGCCATGCCGTAAATTATTTAAATAAATTGAAAAATTCAGACTTTTCAAAAATTACATTTAATAAAATTAGGAGAAGTAGGAAAATTTTTCCGTGTATCGATGGTTAGCAGCATTAGTGTGGCGGAACCTCGACTCAATAGCATAATGGCCTGAGACATATTTTTTTAAGGTTTTGGCGATGATTTACCGTTACTTGTCGATCAAATTCTGTAGACTATGTCTTTAACCGGTATAATAAATGATTTGCTATCGGAGAGTCGAAACCCATTTTTCCGCAATTCAATTTGTCGATTTTTCTCTTGGTCGGGAATCAGAATATCGAAATTTCAATATAGAGAACATCCATCGTAAACTACACTAGACAAACCCGCGGAAATAAAAAATACTCGAAAATGAACTAACTTTCGAAAAAAAAGAATTTTCGCACCATTAGTTCCTATGAACCGAAAATAAGCCATTTAAAAAACGGCAACCGATTATTGTTACCAAACTTCGACTTAATAGGGTAATTGAACGAAATATTCTTTTTGGGAGTGTTAGATATACCGTGCTACCGACACAGCTACTGGAGTCATTAATGGGCCTAAACCCGCTTCAAGTATTGAAATTATTTGAAACATGTTTGAAAAAATGGGGAGTGAATTTTGAATTTCGGGAGGTCTAGTTCTCAGGCTTAGGCTGAGGCTTAGGCTTAGGCTCCTTCGCTCAATAATTCCCCGTAAGGCCAATATGCCTCTCGTGAACAGAGAAATTTGCAAACATGCGTAAAAACGAAATACACCAAATTACCGTCTAATGGAATTACGCATGGGGTTGATGCAACGGAGATGGAGCTCTATTATTGATGCCAGCCAGCGGTTGGCTAGTGTAATTCATTGAAACAGGGGTGGTACCAAATTGTTTAAACTGTTTAAAGTTTTGTGATGATTTCCCGGCTTTAAGAATACTTAGCACTTACTTGCCGGTAAAATTCTGTAAAGGATAACTTTACACGACCAAATAAATGATATGCTATCAGAACGGCGAAACTCCTTTTGTCGAAATCTCACTTTATCGGCGTTTTATTTTGCCAAAAGTTCTCTGTTAAAACTAGAGATGTTACGCATATAAATGCGATATGCTACTTCCGGCGAAGTTCTCCGATATGCATCTCGGCATTCAAAGGGACAGGGGACAATTCCAATGCGATCATCGCATCTGAATAAGCGACTGGCAGTTTCGATATCGATATCGGAACAAGCGGCTTCATATCGGAATAAAAGTCAAATCGTGGATGCAACGCAAATACACAAAAAAGTAGCGTGGGTGCCGGAAATGACGGTGGAAATGGTTGCTACTTTTATGTTAATTATCCCTTATTCCAAGATCATTTCAGGCTTTTACTTGGGTTCGCGCGTAAGGATAATTTGCATACCAATTAGCCTGTTATTCCGATATGACCCGCTTATTGCGATACGATCATCGCATTTGAGTTGGTCGCGCACCAATTCCGATACGATCATCGCCTCGAAATAAGCAAATTTTTATGCCGATGTGCAATTTCGATACGATATGCGGCTCTTAATATCGGATTTATATGCGTAACATCTCTAGTTAAAACCTGGTTTCTCTTGGTTGAAAATCAGAATGTCGAAATTTCAATTTATGCGATATCCATCGTCAACTACACCAGTACAAACTAAAAAAAACCAAAAATAATAAAAAATAATGACTCCTTATGGAAATTTCGGCAAAATAAACTGGGCATTAATTTCGAAGAACCCAAAATCCGCTAGTATCATAACTGATGCATACTTTTTTTAAGGAATTGAGAGGGATTTTGAAGCGCAGAAGCGGAACCATTACTAGCCCCGTGTATTTTAATTTTAGATTTTCATTCTAATTCTATAATTAAAATTTTAATTCATCGTAAAATTCCGTCTTGAAAGGTTCTTAGAACTCTTTTTGCGATGATTAGCGAAACATGACCATCGGTCCCGAATTTTTGCTGAGGACCGTAATTCCATGAAACGTGTTTTTTAAGTAGTTTGCAAGGATTTTCCACCAGAATCGTTTTTGGGCGCGGAGTTATGTAGGATCTCGGTTTTTGTGAAGGCGCGAATTCCGTGTTTTTTGAGTAGTTACATCGTCGTTCACACCAGTCCATTCGCTAGCCGATTTTTCATGTTGCTAACCCGAAACATATTTTTCCATTAAAGAATTTGTTCCTGGGAAAACCGAATTTTCATCCTGCTTTTTTATTATTTTTTATTTTTTACAATAACTTTTAGGTTTATTCCGTGAAAAACCTTTTAATTGTAATTAGAATTTTTCATGAAACAGCATCGATTTTGTTCGATTCTAAAACAAGGTTACATTAAATTTCCAAGCCGATAATTTTAGGCAGCTAAACGTGAATTTGCTTTGAATGTACTAAATTCAAATTCCAGATGTTCCGTCAATTGCGCATCGACCATCCAGACGCACCGATTGAAGAGCTCGAAAAGCTGGCCACCGAGAAAGTCGTCAAGAGCTCCCGGAAAAGTCGCGCCTTCTACCGTATCCAGGTTGGTATTTTATAATTCGAATTTGTCAGCTTTTATAGAATACGATTGCTTGATGGTGGCTTTCAAACAAAAAAAAAGCGGCAATCAAGAAACCCTTTAAAAGCTTGGAAATTAAAAGCGAGATCAGAGGTTTTAACTAATAATGCTGCATTTAACTACGCATAGAAATCGTATTTTATTGCTAAAATCTGCTCAAAAGGAAAGTCTATTACGGAAGTATTAAAAAGAAAATTCATAAAGAAACATAACAGCCATAAGAAATATTATCCAAACAGGCACCGAATGAATTAATAAGAGATTCGATATATTTTTTTTTAGCAATAGATGAAACATTTTTTCATGGGCCACATTTTGCCAAGATTTTACAAATCAATTGTCGCTGACCCTTATTGAAAGTGATTAACCAATTTCAAATATTTTTGCACCACTTCAACCGTGAAACATACCTTCAAGATGTAACGGCAACTTCCTTTTTCATCGAGCTTTTGAGGTTTCTAGCGACCCATTTATAGGCCCAAAAATTCTAAGTAACCTGATAGTAGGTATATTAATAATGTTTTAGTAAAATCTAATTAAATTCAATTAAGAAAACTATGTAAAAACTTCCAATTTTTGCGATTTTGGACGAAAATCGATATTTGGAGTTTTGTTTTAGGTTTTAGAAGCTTAGAAAGCAGTTACTATAATAATATTATGATCATAGGAAATTGGAAATAATTGCCACCACCCCCCGCCCCCCGATAAAGCCAAAGCACCGAATCCTAAACTAGAAGCGGTCACTATAACTTTTAGAATTCCAATTGGTTGATACAGATTTTTGAATACATTCCCCTGGCATAATGCCCGATTCCGCTTTTCCGGAATACCATACAAATGTGAAACATTTTTTTAAACAAAAAGCTCTAAGCTCAATTTTTAGGAATTTTGCTTCCATATTATTTATAGAACTAAACTTTTTACAGGCGACCCGAATGCTGACCGGCCAGGGGGATATTGTCAACCGGAAGCTGAAGGGCAAAGAATCCAAGCAGCTGGCCATCGAGAAGCCGAAGAACAAATTTGTCGTCATCGAGTGGGTTATTTATTGTTTTTAAAGGGAGGGTGACAGCTAGCAGCGGGAAAAACCCAAGCCAGTCAAATTATTTGAAAAATGAGGCTTACAGCCTCTTTTTATCGTGAAATTCATTATTTTTGTCCGAGATAACGATCTATTTTTTGGATCCGTAGTTTTATACACAGTTTTTGAATTTATACGTAGCTAGATGAAAATTTTTACGCAGTTAAATCATAGTTACAAAATAACTAATTAATTCCTAGGCTGGCCAATGTGTAAATTTAATCTGGACGGACCAATCCCCGGGAAAATAAAAATTTGGCAAGGAAAATCAGTGAAACCTAGATTTTTACAGTTTTTTCTATAGTTTAATTTCGCGTGGGATTTTTTGTTTTGGAACTTTGGGAAAATTTTACATGTCCAAGCCCATGCCGACAAGTGTAGTTAATTCTTTGGAAACCAAACGCCTACTAACCCAACTAAATGAAACGTATTTTTGTGCTAATTCTTTTAGCAGCTATGTAAAGGTGCAGGGCTATAACTAAGCTGGCGTCGTCATAAGCCATTAAAAAAGCACGAGTCATCATGGACTTTAAAATACAACACATCGCGGTACTCGTGATGGTAACTCATAATGGTATCGCGGTCAGCCGTATTTAAAGGAGCAAAGATGTTTTATCCACCCTCCCACAATTTTGGTTCCGGGGAAATAGCCATTTGTGGCCGCAACGCGACCGCACCGCATGCATCGTTCCAAGGCTGCCCCTGTTTGGACGTGAAAATGCGTGAATCTCGCAATTCTGGCGCAATTTCTGATACTATATTTTATTTTGCTATTCACCTGAAAGAGATGAAATTTGTGGGGACCCAAAAAGTCCTTAAAACAATCAATTAACCCCCAAATTATCACGCAAATATGTTAGGCAGTTTACGTTTCGTCGCGGCGGACCATTCAGCCGAAAAACCTCAAGCTGGCAAAACGGTTGAACGAAACTAATTTTTTTTCAGCTTCGACCCGGCGCACTACATGTGTCTGGAGAGCTGCGGCAAGGTCAAGGTACGGGTTTGAAAATAGTATTAAATCTGTAAAAAAATTGCATTTTCTAAAGCTTGCGAAAAGTTTGCATGTGCGTATGAATAAAAATCATACCAAAAATGACTGGCCAATGAAATTAGTAGTTTTGCAAAATTGTGTTTCAGCCGGTTGTAGCGCAAATTGCTTTTCGGAACGGTTAGTGCGCGCATTTAGCAATCCGGTCCTTGTGGTTTGAAAAATCACCATCTAGTGTTCTGCGGCCACTTTTTAAAGGGGCGGGTAAGGCATGGTCTGGATAGCACTGGATCACAGATGCGAAAGCTCTCGGAAAAACGGGAAAACAAGCAGCTTTCGTTTTATACGATTTTTTATACACTCTGTGGAAAAACTATGAGACCAGTCGATTTTCGGCTGTAACTTTTCCCCGAATCAAGCTACCATCTTGATATTTATAATTTAGGCTTCATTTTGTATAAGAAACCTGCATGGAAAAACTCAAGCGGATCCGATGCGCGCAAGGTAGTGTTTCGGAAAATTGAGCACCTGAACTTGTAGAAAAACTATGAGACCACTTTTTGTATTGGGCTCTAAGAGTTTCCCTTGGTCTTTACTCGCGCTGTTTTTTATGGAAAACGTTTAATTTAGCCCAAAACTATACGTTTTCGTCATTGGTTATGTTTTTTGCTACCCATATAAATTTTTCCAAAAAAATCGATTTTTACATAGAAATTAGCTTTTAATAAAATTTTTCTGCCAAATAAATTGTATTTCAAAATTTAAGAAATACCATCCTGAAGAGCACGACCTAACGAACATTTTGGTAGGCACCACTTGACTATACAGGCCGGGATGGGGAAACTACACGTCGATGTGGGAAGTCCTCGAGGTTGCCATCCATTTGCTTGGCATTTTAACAAAGAGCCGCAGAGTCGCAAATTGCAAGTGCGAAATATTGCTTATTGGGCCTCTGCCGAAAAAGTTTTGTATACCAAAATGTGCATCAAGTCGTGCTCTTCAGGATGGTATTTCTTAAATTTTGAAATACAATTTATTTGGCAGAAAAATTTTATTAAAAGCTAATTTCTATGTAAAAATCGATTTTTTGGAAAAATTTATATGGGTAGCAAAAACATAACCAATGACGAAAACGTATAGTTTTGGGCTAAATTAAACGTTTTCCATAAAAAACAGCGCGAGTAAAGACCAAGGGAAACTCTTAGAGCCCAATACAAAAAGTGGTCTCATAGTTTTTCTACAAGTTCAGGTGCTCAATTTTCCGAAACACTACCTTGCGCGCATCGGATCCGCTTGAGTTTTTCCATGCAGGTTTCTTATACAAAATGAAGCCTAAATTATAAATATCAAGATGGTAGCTTGATTCGGGGAAAAGTTACAGCCGAAAATCGACTGGTCTCATAGTTTTTCCACAGAGTGTATCTGCCTTAAAGTAGATGTTTTCTTGAATCACCAGGGCCCTATCACCGTGTAATCGTCAAAAAAAAAGATATACATAGTCATCCATAAATTTGTAGTTTTCGTGGTTTTACAGTCTTAAAATGGCGAACTTTTAATAGCTTGATTGTCAAACTGGAAAAACACAAACCGATGATTTTTATGCCTTTTCGATAGCTCTCTACAGATACATAATCCGTAAAAATTGGACCACTATCCGACCAGGCAAAACCTCACCGGTACTGGACTGTTAGCGGGGGGACCCTTTCCTTTTCTGCGTATCCCTGTCCATAATATAAAATCTTATTTTATAGTGTTTTGGCAGTTTTGCCTAAAAATTCAAAAATTATGGCCATGTTACTACATTTCATTTTGAAAAAGTCGAAAAAACGAAATCTATCTCAGAATCGAAAAGAAAATGTTCGAAAACTGTTATATTTTTTCACAAACTTTTTGTATCAAAAACTGTGTGAAATGTTATAAAAATGGCTTATATTGAGGGCTAGGGTCGTGCGGGATTACCCGGAAAAATCCGATTCGCCTCCGAACCCCCCGCTAACGGTCCAGTACCCTATTTCCTGCATTTCTCTCTCACAAAACATCGGAAAAACATAATTTTTCGATTTCGGTAAAACCTAGAGCAAAATTTAGCATTAACTCATAATGGCATCAAAATCAGAAATGAGTTTAAAAATTTTGCAGCTGACGGTGAAATGCGATCGAGGGCTGTGCGACCCGAATTGTACCGTATCTGTCGCCTATAAAACTGTGGCCGACACCGCGCAAGAAGAGTCCGATTTCATCCCGACAAACGGCACACTGACCTTCAAGGCTGGCGTTGATACGTATGTTTTTTCGTTGCGTACTTTAAAGGTATAACGATACCTGGGCCCTTAACTTACGGAAGCTATTGGATATTTTTATGAACTAAATTCAAAAATTTTTTTCTAAGAATTGTGTTTCATCAGATCTTCAATAGAGAAAAACGTTGAGTTTGGCTTGATTATCACGCAGTAAGCGTATAGTTTATTGTCAACAATTAAGGATTTAGCATGAGCTTGAATTTACTGCATTGATTTTTAGAAGATATTTTTAATTAGTTTTAATTGAATTTGAATTTATTTAGTTCTATTTTATGTTTTAACCAGCGCCCAAAACCCGCTTCGCGGGCCTTGGGCGCTGAAATCATGCCTTTGCATGAGTAATTTGACTTTCCGATTGCTCGGGTCCTTCGGACCCCTCCCCTCCCTCGACCAAACTCACGAGTGCAACTGGCAAGAATGAGTAAATTTCTATTTTTTCACATTATGCAAATCAGCTCTCGGGGACCCCCAAAAATCAATAAAACCGGCTTTAACTTTGTAAACTTGTCTTTAATCGGGATTCTGAACGCGCCATCGGAAAGAGGAGGGTCGATTCCCCCGGGTGACGGAGAATTAGAGCATTTTATGCACGGGAAAGCCCTCAAATCGGGCCTCGAAAGTGACATCCACACACACACACAAAGATACGCGACCAAATTATACTATGTTTTAATTTCATTTTAGTTTGAGAAGTGTGCTTCATCAAGCGTTAAATAAAAGGATTTACTCGGCAATCAGACCTGTGTTGTAGGAAGTTCAATTAAAAATCCTATACCTTTGAAAAACGTTTTTTACATTTTCGAAAAGAAATTTTTTTGAGTCCAATTGAAAAAGAAATTACATGCGCTGCCAATCAATCTTTTTATAATTTTTGAAACGCAGTTTGCTGCGCAAAAAGTGCAGGTTAAATTGTCTAAATCAAATTATAATTCCAATTATAACTTTTGAGTAAAAAATAATCTCCGAACAAATAGCTTTGCGAAGTTTTGAAGCACAGTTTTTGAACGCAAGGCAGTGCCAGTTAAAGGGGCAGGCACGCCCAAGAAAACTTGGCATAAAACGTGCCTTAGGACTAAAATGCATAACTCTTTTCTGCTCCCTCTTGCCCCACCTCACTCTCTGCCGATTTTTTGCATTGGCATTTCCGGTTGGCGCGTTGCCAATTATAGATGAACCCTGTTCTACTGGGCATGCCTTATCCCTCTAAATTCTATAATTTATCTTCTATTGTAAGCTAATTTGGACAGATTGAATCACTATGTTTCATAAAAGGGCCAATATCCCCCACCGGATTTGAAATTAATCCCCGTCGAGTCTGAAGAGAAAACATCACCTAAAGCAGCAGTCTTTTTAAGTTTTAAGAAATTTTATTTTTTTGAACATTATGATTTCGATCATTCATTCAATCAATCAAGCTTATTCATTACGTGATTTCTATAGGCTTCCATTTAAATGTAATTCTCCAGGCAATACATCGAGGTGGAGATTGTGGACAACGACGTCTACGAGGAGGACGAGCAGTTTATGGTCCGGCTCTCACAGGTGCAGTTCAGTTGTTTTTTTATTATTTATCACGCGATGAAACACCTTTTTTGGGCTTTTGAAAAGCAGTTTAAGAAGAATTTTAAGATTAAACGATAACTTAAATAGTTTTAAGTTTATTTATGGTTAAACCGATTGCAAATATAAAAAATTGCTGATGGGATGCGAGATCTTAGACCTGAAGCTGACCGCGGTTTAATTCTAGAAACGGGAAACTACAGGGTGTCCCAAAAAAACCCTACCAAGCGGTCCGCAGTCAAGTCCGATTTTTATGATTTAGCTACCCTTCGAAAGCTCTCGAAAAAGCGAGAAAATGAGCGGGCTTCATTTTGTAAGATTAAATCTCGTTCCATCGATTTTTAAGGTTGTTCTAAAAGACCGGTAATTTCTCAACAGGAATTTCTCAATTAGCATGCAGATCTTGCATAAATCAGCAGTTTTCATGGTTTTTGGACGTCGAATTAGCGAATAAAAATGCATAATAAAGAAAATGAACCCTTCTTGTTTTCACGCCTTTTCGAGAGCTTTCCATAGATACCTAAATCGATAAAGGTCGGAATCGACGGCGGACCGCTAGGTAGGTTTTTTTAGGGACACCCTATCGATTTTAAAACAACATAAAAAAATATCCCTTTAAAACAAGAGTGATGAATGGGAATTTATTGTCGCTAGATTGACTGCAAAGAATTTTTTAAATTTACCTAATTCTTTGAAACACACTTGTTTCCGGTTTGTGAAGAAAAGTTTTGCAAAACATGAAATGACTGGCCGGGAGAAGGCTGACTTTTCCTTTATCTACCGATCACCTATCATATTTCGTAGCTTACGATAAGCAACGCGCATGGTCGCCCGTTCATCGCGTAATCAATCAGGACGCTCAAGGACAGCCAAGCGTGGGCGCGTTGCGTGTCGCGGTGCGGCGGAATTCATAGAAAATCGTAGGCTAAATCGTCACCGTCACACCCTCACAGCATTGCCGCGAACCGAATTTTGAGATTACGTTAATTCGATATAACATAACTTTTTCCTGGGTTTGAGAATTGTCGGACAAAAGCTTGAAATTTGTCGCGAGTAGAATAGGGTAGAAGTAGAGGAACGGGGAAGGTTTCAGCATTTGAGCATGGCTGAAAAATCTATGGATTCCAGATCATTTTTGCCGGGCCCGATATTCTGGTCAAAAAAGCATGTTTTATAGATTTGTGCGAATCCTAAAATTTCATTGGCGACAATAACTTCCAGTCAGAGTCGTGAAATCTAATCTAATCCAAAAAACATAATTTTCGGCGCGAAAGGAATGGTTAAAGGGTTTTGGCTGATAGGTGCTCTCTAATTTTTGTCGCGCACGCGACACGCAACGCAACGGCTCCTAATAAAACGTCCGGTATCTTTGGAAATGAGGGAAGACCGCAACGCGTGCGATAGATGCGTCGCGCAATTGCGAAAGCAGGCCTGCGCAGCTAAAAACCGGTTGCTATTCCGCGCACCCGCACGCAACGCGCGAAAAACATGTATTAGTCGGCCGCCATTAAAAGTCGTAACCGATTACGTCATAGATTGTACTAGTTCCGGCAAGAAGGATCTGGAATCTATGTCTATTAAAAGGCATGATCAAATGATGAAACCTTCCCCGTTGCCTTAATTCCACTCCCGTCAAATTGCAAATTTTTGTTCGGCCTTTCCCAAACCCGGAAAAGTGATGTTTTATTGAATTAAGGAAATCTCAAAATTTTATTGGCAGCAATGATATTTTGCAAGTCCGCTTTTACGATTTAAGTATCTATCGAAAGCTCTCGACGAGCCGAGGAGATATCTTCTTTGCGATTGTTTAAATTCCCGAATTTTTCACTCGATTTTCATGGTTTGTTTTAATCCGAAATGTACGCATTTTCTCCAAAAGCTCAATTTAATCGGCTACAGCCCCATACAAGCTGTGTTTTCTCAAATGGACTTCAAAAGGCAGCTCTAGGGGCTTCCAGGAAAGGTGTGCAAACGTGAAAAATCGGTTTATTGTCAAAACATCCGAAACTACTAGTAAATGTAAGAAAAATTCGGGGCTTTCAAAAATCGGTAAAACATATTTCCCTGGGATAAATGCCTAAATCGCAAAATCGGACGTGCGAGACACGATTGCCGCCAATGAAATTTTGAGAGTCGGTTAATTCAATAAAACACCTCTTTTTTTACCGGGTTGGATTCCCTTCAATGGGTGCCAAGCGGCGTATGCGTCGCGTGTCAAAAGGGAACCAGCATGATTAGTAAGATTAAGCTGCTTAAAATTAATGTGTTTGAATATAATCACCCAAAAATTTTCAGGTGCGAGCCTGGGGCCTTAACAACGCGCCGGTACCTGTACGACTCGGAGCCGCCGCCCAGGCCACCGTACTCATCGGTTAGTTTTTGGTGTTTCAAGGATAAAATTGGTCTCAGATGAATTTGGTAGTGCAATTCAGTTTGTTGATTCGTTGGGGGAAATTAAACTAATTTTTCCTCTTTCTCTCTTTCCCTTTTTATTATTAGTTTTAATGAATTCCCAGCAAGAAAATAATCGAATAATATAGATTTTTAGCTGAAGTCCACTCCTGGTTTTTATCCGGAAATTCTTAGCTTAAATTACGTTTCAACCGGAGCGCGCAATTTTATTTTTATAAAATATCATTTGATTCAATATTGGAATTTTTTGAAACACTAACTTGTGCGAGTCAAAACTTCAGGATTTTTAATTGTTTTATAACTACTTAACCTTCCTTTTTAACGTACGTTTTGATGAAACTATTTAAATTATCCCATATTTCAAAAATCGTTAATTTCAGTCGATGACGATCACGCGGGCGCCTTCGGCTTCACCAGCGAAAAATTCAAAGTGCCCGAGACGAATGGCGTATTTGTGGCCGAGGTTTGATTTTATTTTCGCCTTCGTTTTTATTTATGCTTATTTACTGATTATATTAAGGCTCTTATTTTTGAAATCAATTCTCGATCATTCTTGATAAAACTAGATTAAAAAAAACAATGTTTTATGCCGGCCTGCGAGCAATTGAAGCAACAAAGACGTTAGTTAATCGGTTAGAGCTTCGCAACACCGCTTTTACTCTGACAACGCTGATTATCAAAAAATGTTTTAATGAAATAAAGTATGAAAAGAAATGCTGTCAAATAATTAAGTCTCTGTTCGGAATCATAATATTTAATGGATTATATTACATTTTCTCGTGATAAATCTAAACAATTCCGAAATTTTCGGATTTTTTGAAACTTCGAAAATTTTAATAAAACAACATCGGCCGATAAAAGTAGAAGAAGAAACAATATGTAGTGAATTTGATAAACTGCGTATAAATAGCATGAAACAATTTTTCATTTCCGAGATATAAAAAGATGTTTCAATGAAATATCCCAACGAATGAAGACTTGTCAAACTATTATTATGCTTTAACTGTTTCCAAAATTAAACAACAAAATTTTCGGAAATTTGGCTGGTTTTATAAAACGATTTTTCGATCATGGAAAAATTGCACTTGCAAAAAAAATTTTAATTCAGTACCTTCCGACAAAAATTTTTCAGTCAGGGTTGGAACCGCCGGATACTTTCTAATTTTTTTTATGAAACGGGTACTGAGAACTATTTTAAATGAATTTAATGAAAGGTTATGAGTGTGAGGTACCGTCCTATTGTCTATGATTTGTGAATTTCCAGGTATTCCGAACGCGCGGAGCCCGCGGAAAGGTCTCAATCCCCTACAAAACTGTTGACGGAGCCGCGAAATCCCCCGGAGACTACAAACACGTCGAAGGGCTGCTCGAGTTTGAGGACGAGCAGACAAAGTGAGCTTTAGTTCCCAAACATCTGGCAAGCAGGCAATACATCAAAAAAAATTTTTGCAAGGTAGTGAAACACTGAAACACCTTATCTTATTCTCCTGGGTGCTTTTGCATTATTAGGGGTCCCTTATTTTTCTAACGCAGAGTTTTTTAATATAAATAAAGTAGGAGCTTCTAAGCTTGCTTTTACTATTCTGAAACATAGAAACTTTACCAAATATTTATTAAAAATTACAAAAAATATAGATTATTCGACTATTTTTGGATAGTTTTTCACTTAAAACTTTATTCATTATTGATGACACTTTTTCATTAACGGGGGGGGGGGGGGGGTAACCGTTTCCTTAGTCATGAATTTTTCAATATAAATAAGGATCGCGTTTCAAAGCTTTATTTTTACTATTCCTAAACTTACAAAGCTTTACAAATTTTTGTGAAGTACAAACTTTACGAAATTATAGCTTTGTCGATTTATTTTCAATATTTATATTTCAATTCTAGCTAAATTCCACTACAGCATTTTTAAAATACGTACTATGGATTTCGTAGTGATGGCGGAATTATGCGAAAAAATCTCGGTTCCTTCACCCCAGAATGCGAAACAAGCTTTTTGTTCACGATATTGCCGTGCTGTGAATTTTCCACATTTGAAAAAAACGCTACAATACGCCACTCAAAAAAAACCTACAAAATCCCGACTTCGATTTGAAAATAAATTTAATTGACGAATATTAATTGATATTAACTATTTTTCGTCTAGGGGCGAGATTACGGTGGAAATCGTGAACGACATCGAGTACGAGAAAAACGAGGAGTTCTACATCGAGCTGGGCGAGCCGATATGGCAGGATGCGCACGAGGGGGTTAGTTTGCGCTTCTAATTAAATTGTTAATTTTCATCGTTGATTTATGAACAAGATCGTGGTAAAAGATAATTAACGGTAGAGGTTACTCCTTCAACTATATTTTTGACGAAACATTTTTTAGGAAATCGATCAAATTTTGGTGCTAGGAAATGAAAAACCTCTTCGAATTCTTGCAAAATTGAATTCTCCTTCCTTGTTGAAAAGGAAATTTGTATATTGGAAATAATTGGTTGAAGCCCCAGATCTTCTTTTGCACCACAATTCATATGTAAAACACTAAATTTTTGAAAACTTCGAAAACGGCTTCCGAAGAGCGAAAAGGAGTAAGGGCTTCCGAACGCTTTAAAAATATTTCTACGGAGGAAATTTAATAAACACGTAAAAGCAAGTACCACGAAAAAAGGGCTGAGCAGTGGTGTTGGGAATGATAATGACTCCTATCTTGTGTTTTACCTAAAGCTGTTATACAACTAATGCTATTTTGGCGATTTCTCTCTCAAACTATACGCGAAACATAGATTTTAACAAAGCCAAATAGCTTGCGAAATTGTAATTCCTATTCCTCCTTGAAATAACTGCGTCTAAAATTAGCGATATAATCTTTTCGAGCGATTTTCCCGCCGCTTGGCTTTCATTAAAAAAAAGTTTTCTAATTTCAAGGCTGTTCATTAATATTAACATGTCATACAAAAAAACCAGTAAATGGTTTTGGGTATTTTAATAACGTTTTTTCCGCCGGTTGAAGATTTTAAATTCCACTCTCAAATTAAAGAAACTCTAACCGGTTCTGTCGCTTTGCAGCAGCCGATTTTCCCGCGGCCCGAGCAGCGGGCGGCCAGGCGGAAAAAGTCGAAAACAGAGGTATTTGACGGTAAAAGCTCGTATATCTCGATGAAGAAGCCTCAGTTCCAAATAGTTTTTACACCATTCGAAAGCCCAGAAAATGGCAAAATTTTCAGCAATTTAATAATTATTATTTTTGCAAGATATTACAAAATTTATGGCAATTTTCAAATTTTTTGATTATTTTATGAAATCGGATGTGAAATGCGCAAGTCAAATTTAAATTCTGAGACAAAGCTATCGAGAAATCGGCAAATTTTGGGGCTTTCGAGCACAACAAAAATTATTCTGATCTGAGCTTCCTTTGTCGAGATAGAAGGGGTTTTCACTGGGACCCTAGAAACCAGTAGCACCCTAGAAAGCACCTTTGTTTTTTTATTTCGCAGTCCTCCCCTGTGTGAATCCCCCACTCTAAATGGCGATAATCGCGAAAGTAATGCCGAAAAAATAGATATAAATCGTATAATAAAGAAGTTCAAAAGAACTAAAAACTCAAAAGCAAAAAAAATTTGAAATAAAGTTGGTCCTTTTGAAAAACCGTGTTTCGAAAATCTTCAGGAATAAGCGAAAATGGTAGGGGCAGATGAGATGATTTTTGGCCAGAGACTAAAACGTAACATTTTTCAATTTTGTGGAAATTACACGCCTTGCGCGTCGCGGCGCGGAAAAACCGGAATAACAATAAAGCTATAGTGATTTTGCCAGCTTGTCAATGCGCCAAAAAACTTTGATTTTTACAGCATTAGGCAATCTTAATATCGTTTAAATTAATTAATTAATTTAATGATTGTATCCGAATGTATTGAAAAGCCATTTTCGGCGTCAAATCATTTTTTCTTTTGAAAAAATGTTTCGGAAAATCTCAATTCAAACTGGAATTTCGCATTCCATTCAATCCCAACTACAGCAAAAAAATTTTAACGTGTTGCTTCATGCTTTTCGAAACGGTCGGCATTTTACCTATTTACATATCCTTCAGCATTTTCGATGTTTTCGTCATTTTTCGGGATTATCGTCAACCCAAAAACCCTTCCGTACCCTTCCCCGGTCCACCCTACGTTTTACCGAGTTTCATTTCCCCCACGCGAGTTTTGGTGGTTTCGGTTTTTTATTTTATTGTTTTTTTTGTTGGTTTTTCGTTTGGTTGAGAGACGTGTGGTGTCTTGTCCATGAAAAGCATTAGATAAAAAAGTGTTATTTTTAATGCTAAATCATTCTATTCAGATTGAATTTCAGACTAAATTTAACCCTGAGAGTCAAAATACCGACAGACCGAAAAGACGATGACCAAAATCCCGATAGATAAAAATACCAACAGCCAAAATCCCGACATGTTCTCGACGCTGGTTTGAATGCCTATTTTGCATGTCGGGGGTTTTGACCTCGCGAGGATTTCGAGCTGTTGTATTTCGGTTTATCGGCATTTTGGCTGTCCGTATTCTCGCCTTCAGAATTTTTCGGTTTTTCTAGAAGATTTGATTACGTTGGAAAAAAAGATGTTTCATCGAAATTAGTTGTTGAATGCAAAAAATACATGCCAGTCTTTTCGCTCATCCTGTTTGATGGTAGATCCAACTAGATTTCTAAAAATCTGCTTTTTTGTCATGCTAATGTTTAAATTCGTCGTTTTTCAACTAGCATTAAAAATCCCGATAATTCCAAAATTCGATACATACGTAGATTACATGTGAAGATGCGTTTCATCAAATTTAGTCGGAAAAATCAGACTCTTGGCCTCAATTTCTCGTAGACTGGTGTTCGACCCATGTTTTAAATAAAAAATCTATCAAAATTAACGTAATTAAACTCATTTAGGAAGGAGCGGAAGGGCGTCCCGTTCTTGGCGACCATCCACGCTGCAAAGTCGTTATCATTGAGGACAAGGAGATCAAGGTATCGTTTTATTAAAACCAATACGTAAGAATTAAATGATTGACAATAGTCAGTTTTAATCAATTCATTGACGGTTTTAAAAAATGAGAAAGTTTTTTCGGTTTGTGAAAAGCGGCGACTAAATTTCCATTGCCACCTGAAAACAACAAGCATTTGCCTCGCAAAGCGAGTTTTTGGAAAAACGTGTTTCAAAAGTTTTTTGCATTCTCCGATTTTTGGTTATCTTAATGCAGACCTCGAGCCATTACCTTGCTGGTGAAAGGAATCGGACCATCGTCGCCATGCCATAATGCTTCTATCCAATGGGCATGAAGAAATAACACAAATTGTTTTTCTATGATTTTTGACGGCCTTTTGGCTCGTTAAAAGCTTTTGGAAATTTTTGAATAAGCAAAAAAGTAAGCAAAGCGAAGATAATGGAAATTTTGATGACTTAAGAAGGCATGAGGGTTATGGGAATGAAGCTCTCGGAACGCGCTATCCATTGTATGGTAAGAATAACAACTTGTTTAACTGGCTGTCGAAAGGAGCCTTCGGAAAATCAAGACGGCTTGCCGTAAAAGAAATATGTTTCACCAAATTTCCAAGTCCACTAAGCATTTGGGTGCGCAATTCCCGTAGCATCGCAGCAACGGAAAATCTTTGTCGTCATTTATCATCTGATATTAATCATTACCAAAACTTAGTTTAATTATTTTGTTTTTGCAGAACGCGCTTGAGAAGGTGTTTGCCGACGCGAACATCGCGTTGATGGTCGGCACATCCTCATGGAAACAGCAATTCCGGGAGGCGTTCGAGGTCGAGGATCTGGGTACGGTAATTTGTCATAGTTAAAAAATATATAATATAAATAGTATCTATAAAAAAGCGGTATTAGAAAGTAAGGGAGAGAGCTGGAGAGAGAGATAGAGAGAGGGAGGGAGCGAGAGAGAGAGAGAGAGAGAGAGAGAGAGAGAGAGAGAATGAGAGAGGGGGAGCGAGCGAGAGAGAGTGCGAGAGAGCGTGCGGGGGAGAGAGAGCGAGAGTGCGAGAGGGGACGAGAGAGAGTGCGAGAGCGAGCGAGCGTGCGAGAGAGGGCGAGAGAGAATGCGAGAGCGAGCGAGAGCAAGAGCGAGAGAGAGAGAGAGAGAGAGAAAAGAGAGAGAGAGAGAGAGAGAGAGAGAGAGAGAGAGAGAGAAAACATTCGTCTCAAAAATGACAAAAAAAGCAACAAAAATAATGTTTCAAACTTTTTGAAATCAAAAATATTGCTCAAATCGTTTAATATATCTTTTTCTGGTTTTGGTAGATAACATTCTATATTTTTTTATGTTTGTTTAAATACCGCCTTTTCTCCAGACGATGACGGCTCCATCTCAACCAAGGAGAAAATCCTGCACTACGTCTCGTTGCCGTGGAAGCTGCTGTTCGCCCTCATCCCGCCCACCGACTATTTGAATGGTATTATTTAGCTTATTTATACTACTTACTCAGCTTTAAATATCATTTATACCATACTGAAAAATTGTGGAAATGATGGAACAAAAGACGAAGGATTAAGTTTGCAACATATGGAAAAAATTTGGTCTAAAGGCGAAACATTTTTCTTTAATTATCGTTGATCTCACAATTTCCATGCTATTTGAATGGGGTTCTATATTACTTATATTTTTTAGGTCTGCTTAGATAATTTGTTATACTAAAAATCTGATGTAAATTATTATAATTGCAATATATTTTGTTTACGCAGCTCCTATCAGCATCGCATTGAGATAAGGGGATCTGCATCAAATGATGAAACACTTTTCTATATTGATACAGGATCAGAGAATTTTTTTTGAGCTCGTTATGGTTATTTATGCCATTTCAATTTACTATTTATCACGGGAATCTCATTAATATAAAAATGAATTTGAAAACTTTCTGTGACGACCATTAGACAGGAGAAAATTTGTCAAAAATCCAGGAATGTTGAAACATTTTTTGCTCGATCTTTTTCGCTGGACCTGCTGATTGTTTACAACTGGTTTTTCCAGGATTTATTAGCTATTACAAGTTTTAAAAATGAGATTTATTTCCACACGCTGTTGGTCAGACATTTGGGAATATCAAGCTCGAAAAAACATTTGACCATGAAACATTTTTTAGTCAAACGCAAAATCAAAAAAGGACGACGCAAACTCGGAAACCTAGCTTAAATTTAGCGAGGAATAAAAGTAAATGAGGATACAGACTCGACGCGCAAAAACGAACTTTGCAGGCTGGCTGTGCTTCTTCGTCTCCATCTTCTTCATCGGGCTGCTCACCGCCTTCATCGGGGTACGATTTATGAACTGGAATAGACGTTTCCGCAATACATTCGTCGTCGTACTCACTTATTATTTAGCCAATGATTCGCGAATGTCTGGCTTTGGACAAAACATATTTTGTAGATCTTAAAATCTTTTGCTTATTCGTTTTTTTACGTCGGGCTACGGTTCGCTTTACCCCCGTCCCAGCCGAAATGTTTTTGGCTATACTTTTTGATCTTACATTATTGTAGGCTCAAATTAAAACTGTTAGTATATTTTTCGACGCTCTATCGCATCGCGTTCCAAAAATCCCGGCAAAACAAGCGAAAATACCGATAACTTTGAGACCCTTTAACTGTGGGGGAGGGCTGGGCAAAGTAAAGTCTTACCTTACTTTGCTTCTGCATACGGTAGTTCCGATTTTGTATAAAGGCTAAATTTCCAGAAGGTAGTTCTTTTATTGGTATTTTTCGTCTCTTAAGGAGCTCTGAAAAATCTTGAAATAGGTTATTTTAAATCAGATGTTTCAGGCTTATAATACCTTCTGCCGAGAGTGACGATACTGATATTGATCGGGTGCCTGATTACTTTAAATTATACGTTGAATGCCTTAGCCATAATTTCCGATTAGTTAAGTGAATTCTGGGGAAAATTGCAGTAAATATTTATCTATTTTGAGCGCGATTTTTTTACAAAATAATTTTATTTGATGAATATTTAATGAAATCTTTGCAATTCCAGGACCTCGCCGCTCACTTCGGGTGTACGGTGGGACTGAAAGACTCGGTGACCGCCATCTCACTCGTCGCAATGGGAACGAGTATACCTGGTAAGTCTTGAAGAGGTTGAAAAGATTTTTAAATTTTGATTTAGACTTTTAAATGTAGTTTTGAAATTAAGCTTTTTAAAAAGGAGTCTAAGGGAGAATTTCACGATACAAAATGTCGAAGAAACTTAATTAGCGCATGTTTCAGTTTTTTGAATCAACAAAATATGCGGCGAGGAGATAATTCTTGTAGCTTCTGGTTACGATCAATCTTAAAGGGGCGGAGAAGCCAAAAATTGGGGCATATTTGTTACGATCAATATTAAAGGGGCGCAACGCGCACGGCGTTTAGTCATATGGTTGGCTTCCCGGTGCCTTTAAAATAACTCTGAAGGCTGTAGTGGCAGTCTCAACTTTATTACTACTGGCAAAAAAATTTTTGGTTAGGAAAACCTGAAAAACACTTTCTTCTCGATTAATCTGATTTTCCATATTTTTTTGCTTCTTTGAATGATAAAATAGGTGTAAATGCTCAAAACGTTTCGTTCGATCCAAAAAAATTACAGTGATTCTGTATCCACTTTCAGTAATTCCTCGTCGGTCTTTGAGACAAACCGGGGGATTATAGGATTACTCATTAGAAACCGTCCTGTTTTTCAAAATATTTTGGATTTTTTTACGCTGGAAGGGACGTTCCGATTGACGGTCGTTTGGGGGCCGTAACCGGTTTCGCAATGGAAAGCCTGGCGTGAGCGTCGCGTGTCGCGGGCTGAGGCTAATTGCACAGAAAATACATACTAAAAAATTGTCAAGTATCCCTATCCCCGTCCCTTTCAGACCATCGATTATATACGGTATCTCGTATTATAGCAACCAGGAAAATTCTATAATTAAGACAATGTGAAACACTCAAAAACACGAATTTCGAATTCTGCTCGAAAGATTATTTTTCTATATTTTCAGCTCGCTAAAAATCACAAAATTCGTAAACGTTATCAAAATTGTTGAATCATATAAATTCTCAATTCATAATCCAAAAACAAACTATGGAGTTACAAAGCAAAATACAAGCTTTTACCAATATTAACTTTTATTAATGGAATGTTTCAGGATTCGACCCGTAGTGATTACAGTTGATTTTGAGAATATAAAATTCCTGATTTTCTTAGATACATTCGCCTCAAAAACGGCGGCCATCCAGGACAAATACGCCGACTCGTCAATTGGAAATGTCACCGGATCGAACGCGGTCAACGTTTTTCTTGGTGCGTTTTGAAAAAAATATGTTGCAAAAAGCTTCAAAATCAAAAACATTTGTGGGCCCTTAATAAGGAATAGATTTGTCGTAACGCTCGTATAAGGTTCAAAAACACCAAAAGATCCCCTGCATTTCTCGAGTTCTCGAAAAAATATGAAATGAAAACTTTATGGAAAATATGTTACAAGCAAAATTTTAAAAAACGTCGGGTTGATTGGCCGTTAACCACTGTGGAATCCAATATTCAATCAAAATCGGACGGAAATTAATCAAGCAAAATAAACTTGATTTGCTTTAATTTAACTGGCACCGGCCTGAACCCTATCGCGACGGATACGCCGCTATCTAGTTCACCAAAATCTTAACTTTGCATTTAAAAGATGTTGCGCCTTTTTTTGGCTTAGGACTTTTTCCTTAGAATTACTAGGGTTTAAAATGCGATCAATAAAACTGAGACTTTCTTGAAAAATAATGTTACAAAAAAAATATCGAAACCTGTGAGCGGATTTTTAAAGACCGTCAGAACGATGAAATTTCGTTAAAAGCAAGAAAGTCGCGCACCGAGCGGGGGTCGAACCCGCGATGGTTCGCTCCTCAGTCCGACGCGCTAGCCACTATACCAGAGGGCCAAGTGGGGGAAGGGAGTCAGAGCGCCCCAAACCCCAGAGGGCCTTTGCCTAGTACGGGGCGCTACTAATGACGCCTCTCTCCCCGCGCGTTCTTGGGGGCCCCACCCTTGGGGTGACAGTGTGCGTTCCAGAGTTCTAGCAGTCTTTAAGGGATAGTGTGCTGTTTGTACGTCTTGAGTCATGCTGAAATGCTGTTTAGTTTTAATAATAGCATATAGTATCCTGCGCATTCTTTAGGGAGCAGGGTCTTCGCAGATTTATATAGCTTAGGACCTTCAAATGCTCGTTAAACCATTCCAAAAAGTGCGGTCGAGTTTTCGGGCTAAATGAAAGGATGTTTCAACAAATCACAAATTATGGGTTGACCGTTGGATGTTAATTATTTGATGGAGCCTGTAGCAAAATAGCCAACATCCAAAATACCACAGCGAATTATCTTTCAAAAATATGTTGTTATACTGTTCGTTAGAGATAAAATTTTTAATGATCACACCTACTATTACACCCAGTAAAGTTGGAATTTACTAAATACTAACGGCTTCACCGAAAAAACGAAAACTTCAGTAAAATGTTTCAAAATTTTCAAGGTTGTCCAGCTGCCTAATTGCAGTAGTGAATCGAGCAGAACCAATCTATTTTACATACCATTTCCGGCGCCAGCTTGCAGTATCAGAGTCGGGAATTTTAAAAGATAAAAAAGAAGACTGAATTTTATGATCAACGATTATTCATAGCACCTACTGGAAAATTCATAAACTTACTTTTTTTACCTCACCAAAGATAATCCCATTTCTACTGCCCAGCTCTAAAAATAGAAATCCAAAGAAGTGTTACAAAATCATTTAAAAAAAGTCGGTTCGCAGAAAATATTATTCGGTCGACCAGTTCTTCGAAAAATCAAATAATTTTTCAGGTATCGTAGGCAGATGGAATGCAGGCACTTCAAACAGAGTCGGGGAAATTTTTCATAATTTTTGTAGTATGAATTTTATGAGCAACTTATTCTTAGCATCTACTTAAAAATTTACAAATCTTTTTACTTAAACTAACATTGTAAGACCATCCTTTCCCACAGCCCAAAATTTCGAGGGGAAAAAAGTTTTCAAAAAAATTCAAAAATCGCAGGTTTAACGGTTTACTATTAAGTTTCACATTGCAGGATACAACAAATCAATTTTCTTTTTCAGGCATCGGCATCGCGTGGATGATCGCCGCGATGTACCACGCGTGGAATGGCACCGTATTTAGGTGTGTAACGTTATTTTTACGGCTAGCGCCTTAGAAATTTAAGAAAAGTAAATTTGGGAAGGTATTATATTTGCGTTTCTATGTCTCTATTTTTCGATGTCACGAGAGACATATTCAGGATTCCTTATTAGTCTTGTTCAGCGAATTTTATGAACCATTTTTCTGGTCAAAAACTACCAACCAAAATTTTTGTCGATTCGAAATCGACAATTTGAAACGATCTCATTCACGTTCAAAGCTATAGGCTTTTAAAACTTACTATTTAAATAGTTTGACGAAAATTTGTAGCAGCAAATTTGCTTAGCATAGTTGGGTTTAAATAATATGTTAGATGAATTTGACTGGTCTAACAAACCGAAAAAACCATTATTAGCGTTTGTTCTTTAAATGTAATAAATGCTATGTATTTAAATGTAATAATCTCTTTAAATCTCAATAAAATGCTATTTGATTTATTTATTTATTTCACAGAGACATGGATGCCGGCATCCTGCCGGGTGGCAGCCGGGAAATCGCCGCGTTCTTGCCGGGTGGCAGCCGCCGGCTGCCATCCGGCTGCCGCCGGCAGCCGGCGGCTGCCATCTGGCAGAAACCCGGCTGCCATCCGGCGAAAACCCGGCAGCCGGGTTTCTGCCGGCACATGCCGGCTCTTCACGAATCGCTTTTGCCAGGTTCTTGCCTGCATCCTGCCGGTTATTCGCCGGCCATTTGCCGAGCTTCTGCCAATATAATGCTTCCGCTTCCGCTTCGCGATTGCAACGTAGGCGACGCCTGTAATCTTGTGCCAATATACTAGTACTTTATCTTGTCTTCAATTTCGTTTATCACTTACTTTTCGAAGCACGAGACTTGGCAGTAGACGTTCGCAGCAACAATCAAACTGTAAAGTTGCATTAGTTTAACCTTTTTCAGCGGTAATGAGTTTTTAAACCCATTCACTTAACTTGATAGTAAACATACTTTCAAAACCACGGTGCTTGGATACGAGAAGCAGGCGCAGTTTTCTCACTACAGGGTTTATCTAGAAACAAACGGTTAGATTTTACTAAACTTCTCTTGTTTCCTGAAGTTACTTCGTCACATTGGCGAAGCATATCGTAAACGTGTAGGCTGGTTCATTATAGCCTAAAACTTCCTAAAAGGCTAATGAAACTGAAATACCTGGCTCGTCTGCAGTTCCTTTTAACTTGACATACAGGCACATTGAACCCAGAAAGACGGCGGCAGATATTGAATCGAAATAAACTTTATCTGAAAACTTCCATTAATTTGGCGAGAAATCAAAGGTGTTGCCATATATCAAATCTAAAAAACTCTAGTACCAATTCACAGGCTGCGTTCTAAAAACATCAAACGTTTTTATAAGCTGTATACTTACCTCTTGTTGAAGAACTTTAAAAATCTAAATTTATGAAAGAAGAAACTGAACGCGCAAAGAAAATAGAGAAAAGCCGAGAAATTCGAAAGTTGGGGTAGGGCTACGAATAAATACATGTTTACACCGGCAAGAATCCGGCAATATCCCGGCAGCCGGCAGAAAGCTGGCAGGATTCCGGCAGACCCGGCAGCGGGCCGGCAAGAACCCGGCCGCCGGCTTTTTGCCAGGTCGAGCAGCCGGCAGCCGGGATTCTGCCAGAGGTCCCGGCAAAAATCCGGCAGAAAACCGGCAAGATCCCGGCTGCCAGCCGGCAGAGTCATTTTTCCCGGCTGCCATCCGGCAGAAACCCGGCAGCCATTTCACTGTGTTTTTGATTTTGTGAAAGCAATTCTTAGCTTGCGAGAACCGCAGTCAAATGCCGGATAAATCACATGATTTGAACACTATATTTGTAGGGTACAAGCCGGCGCGCTGGCCTACTCGGTGTCGCTGTTCCTCATCGGCTCCGTCGTCTGCATAGCCGTGCTCCAGTTTAGAAGGTAGAACGCTTTTTGGGGTTTTTTTATCATAAAATATCTTTATTTTTGAAAATTCTTTGATTTGCTAATTTTGGGTTTTTGCAAAATCTTGCGCTTTCAAGCGAATTCAGCTATCGGAAATTTTTGGTGCTTAAAATTTAAATCGCAAAGATTGTTAAATTGTTAATTTTTTAAGCTATAGTTTAGTATAAGAATTTTGCTATCCCAGATGTGGCTACAATTTCTAATTTCAGATTCAATAAGGGCATCCAGGGCGAGCTGGGCGGCCCGCCGCGATGCAAATACCTGGCGGCGCTGATCTTCTTCATGTTGTGGGGCTTCTACGTGCTTCTCTCATCCCTCGAGGCCTACTGTATCATTCCCGGATTTTAGACAGATTGATAAAATACAAAGAAAAGCAGTTTCGTAAAAATTTTCTGTCAAACTAATTTTACAAAGACTTTTTTTATAATATATTTTCTTAAAACATCTTTTTTTTCCTTTTTTTGTTATTTGTCATTTTTCAGGTATAACTCCGTTTTCTCTTTGTATTTTCTAAATGTAATTTGCGTGATGTTTCATACTCTTTTCCTACTTAATTTTCTATAATTCCATTTTTATATGAAAATTCTATACTTTGACTTTGATACCGTATGTTTCCGGTTCAGCCTCTACCCAAAGCTAGCCAAACCAAAGATGTGTTTTATAGAATGGCCATGTTGTGATGCCCCAAGATTCCCGGTTCTTTATTTCAGATTATGCAGATTTCAAAAATTTGGGTGCTTTTCCATTATCGGGGGGGCTAAATACTTTACATCGAAAATGCCTATTAATGTATTAGTACATGTTTTAATAGTATTTTTAGTAACATTTAACTGTATTTCAAGTGGAACAAGGATCGAAAAACTCCGAACTTTTGAATTTCGGTTGAAGATCGGTTATTTTTCCGCTGAAAAATCGATATTTTTAGATATTCAATAAAAAGTGAAGTCGTTACGATTAGAAATAGCAAAAGCAGTTTAAAAACACTTAAAAAATGCCCCCCGACCGGAAATGCGAAAGCATCCATCATAAGCTATTCTAATTAAATTTTCATACAATACCGGCTTTTAAGGAAATTCGGAAACATTCTTATTTTTTTGCAAAAATATTTTTATTATCTATTTTTTTTGCATAATTCCATAAAAGCCTTCACATATCTAAGCAAGAAATAAAAAAATTCCACCTCCATAATTCCAGATAAAAATTGCCAATTCTCGGAATTTTATTTACAATTATTTTGAAGATTTTTTATTTCTCAATTTTTATGTGTTTCATGGTCCACTAGATATTGATCAATTTTCGCTACTGTTAGTCGTCTTACTTTTTCAATTTCTATTCCCTGTTTTATGGATTATTTTTTTACAGTGCCGGTTTGAATAAAGCGTTTTTAAATAAGAAAGAATATATAAATAGATACAAGAAACAAAGTCAAAAAGATAACAGATTAAATTCAAATAAATCAAAGAAACTTTAATGTAAAATTTTTAAATAGGTATAAATAGGTAATAGCGTTAAAAGGAGAGTTTTTGGTAATTTAAAGGGGCCAAGAAGCTAAAATTTACATTAACCTATTTATTAAAAAACCAAAAATATAGTGGCTACACGAAACCCGCGACATATTTGAAAAAACGAAACGTTTTGGCGTCTCTGGCTATTTGCCAGGGATCAACGCTTCGGGGGTTGACCAGACTTCCTAGCCCCTTTAAGTTCCACCTAAAAAACCGCTGCTAGCTTGCGCCAAAACCTCAATTTTTGATTCCGCCGATTTTATTCGTCTTCCTGGCCCGGCTCGACCCGTTTGTGCCCCAAAATTCAATAAAACATTTTTTTTCGAAAGCGCGCTGCAAGAAGTTGAGCTAATTAAGTTAAGCCAAATTAAATTTTCAATGTTTCATAGCGAAAGGTTGTATGTGACGAGGGAATGGCTGCAAGGTGCGTAGTAGTGAGATTGGGGAACTTCGACTGCTTCTACTTTTTACAAGACACCGTAGCGTCTCCCTGGAAAAATTAAACGTGGATCAACGACGAATGCATCGCGAAACTCCATTATTATTTCACATCAAATTTTTGTAAAACATGTTTTTTCACCCGAAAATGTTGCATTATGTGGAAATAAAATCAGCTATTTATCGTCAATTTTTCTTTATCCTAAAGTTAAATAAATCGGGTATCCTACCTCTAATAATTTGGTCGCGTATCTTTGTGTGTGTGTGCGGAGGTCAGTTTCGAGTCAGATTTGAGGCTCTTCCCGTGTCCAAAACGCCCCAATTCTCCGTCACTTGGGGGAATCGACGCTCCTCTTTTCGATGGTGTTTTCAGAATTTCGATAAAATTCCAGCGCCCAAGGCCCGCGAAGCGGGTTTCATTTCATTGCTTCTTTTTTTGCAAACTGCCGGCATACTTCGTGAAAAACGTTTCAATTATGGAATGCCAATCTGCCGGCCTCGCACGATTAAGGGGCGGTCGCTTCAATGAAAATTATTGAATTAAGGGGAAGGGCTTTAAGTTACGTTTGATACATTATTAGGGGGGTACGATCATTACTTCTAAAATCATCCTACTATATATAAAAAAATAGTGTTTATGTGTTTGTGTGTGTGTGTGTGTGCCACTTTGCATCCACTTCCGTCTGTCTGTCCGGAGGATATCTCAAGAAGGGACGGGTATTGGGCTACGTATGATACGTCATTAGGTGCGTAATGGTCTAGGGATGACTGCACACAAATCAGATTTTTAAAAATTAGCCATTTTCGCTATTAAAGTTAGGTTTTTGTAAAAACCTCTTTGTTAGGAAGAATTAGCATAGACCGGAAGTGGGCCGTCGCCTATATAAAGAGGCAGAAAGGGTTGTTTTTCATTTTTTTGTCTTCTGAATGGAGGACAATTATGCAAAGGGCAGAATAGTATGGGGTCCGAGACGGGGCCAGGTTGAAAAGTCGCGAAGCGGCTTTTCAACCCTGGTTACTTTTAAAATCATCACTTCTAAAATCATTACTTCTAAAAGTCATTACTTCCAAAATCATTACTTCTAAAAGTCATTACTTCTAAAAATCATTACTTCTAAAAACGTTACTTCTAAAATTTGGTACGCCAGATTACCAGTTTTTCGGCACGTTTTATGCCCAAAACGAGGCTTAGAACTTTAGAAGTAACGACTTTTAGAAGTAATGGTGGGTAGCCATTATTAGGGTGTGGCCCTTCATGTCATTATGTTATTTTCGACAGTAAAATTTCAGTTTCTCATGAAAGATCGGACGCCTTTTTTGTTAGGAAACAATTAGCATACGCGGATGTAGCCGTCGCCTATAAAACAGGCTGAAACGATTTTTCCTTTTTTTGTCAGCTTGATTCAAGAAGCGTTATGCGAAGCTTAGGATGTCATGGTTGAAAAGTCTCGAAGCGGAAATGATTATATGTAAAAAAACCTGTTGCAAAGATAAAAACGGCCATCGAACAGGAAAAGGGCAGCATTGATTATGCAGCTAGCATCCTTTAAAAAATTGTGCATTTTTAAATATTCTTTTCCATTTATTATTTTATTTTAATTTTAATTGAATTTTTCTAAACATTACATCTTATTTTGAATAGTTAAAGCGCTTTGAAAAAATTTTAACTGCTGGCGACAAAAGTTTTTCCGGCTTCTGCTGCTTTTAGTGTGTTTCGTCTCGAAATGTTATTTCCTTGCATCGTCAGCACTGAATTTTAGGTCGGTAAGATCTTCGTAAATTTATTCAATATTTTCGAAAAAAATAAATAAATTCTCTATAAAGTCAAAAAATAGCAAAAAAAAGTGAAATGCAAAAATGACAAATGACAGCTGAGATTTTAAAGGGACTGGCAAGTGTGAGGAATCGGAGGTGGGAGGAGGGCAATTATGGCACAGTAAATCTGAATTAAAAACTACTATAATAATTGCAATCAAAATGAATTTAATTTAAATCACAGCCCGTTTTCAGTGTGGAGAAGGGAAAATAATAAGGAAAATATGAATTTTCATCAAATCCAAAGACCCGTATAAAAATATGGCAAATAGTGGCTTGGTATGCAAATGAGAGAGATTTGCTATCGTAATGTTCGAAATTCATGATGCCGAATTTTGAATTTTACGAAATTTTTTTGCATAGAACAAGGTTTTTTGTTTATGTAAATTTCGGCATTATGAAATTTTGACATCCAGAAATTTTCGCATTGTGAAGTTTCGACAAAGAATATAATTTAAATTGAATTAAAAACATGAATTTGATCGTTTTTTGAATCTGTAGATGGCGAGGTATTCGATCAGAAATACAACAAATAAATAATAAACATGGCGGAAAATATGAGATCAAAAATATGGAAATTTGGGGCGAATTATGGATTTTGAATCACATTTTAACGGGCAAACTGTAAGCTATAATTGCCAACTAAAATTAATGCGCGTAACAATAATACTTTGTGTTTTGCGTGAATTTACAACTAATTGAGTAGAAAGCCGGTAAAATCGCAACAATCGATTGTAAGATATTTTTAATCCCAAACGTTGATATTTTGAAGCTTATTTTCTGAATCTTTAAATTACTAAAATCAGATTAAAATCAGAAAAAAACAATTATTTAATAGCGGAATCTGGACTGAACTATTTCCTGGAAACATTGTGCATACTGTTGGGTAGTTGAAACATAAGATTCTTTAGGAATTTAAATATGCAAGATTTTCCAACGCAAAAATCGCTCCAACATTCTAGGAATTTTTCATACAGTAGCCACGGCGCAATACCCGTCCAAAATTTTTTTAAGCCGGCATACGCCGCGAAACATTTAGATTTCAAATTTGCTAAATCAAAATTGCGTAAAATGCTTCCAAAAACCATAATTGTAATCATGATTTAATTTATTTTGTGATTTTGATTTAATACGCGCCATCGATGCGTCCGAATGGACGCGAATTTGCTCTTTTGGGATCTGTCTCAACTGCGCATTGGTTGTGATCACAAAAAATTTCGCAGGGATCCTATGCGAAACATTCAATTTAGAATTTTCCAAATAATAAATTAAAATTATTAAAAGAACATCGCCTACATTAAAACCTTAAATTGTAAATTGAATTCCCCTGATATTGCGCACGATTTCCACTTTTTAGAAACGATGTCGGTCAAGGCACTATCCTTCATGAAAATGAAAATCGCAGGTTTCGTAAGCGAAACATTTTAATTTAATATTTTCCTATTAACTTTTTTTAATATTTCCAAAATTCACTAGAATTTTTTAATTCTTGGTTAAATTTATCAATCATAAATGCGCCCGATTGCTGCGATTGAAGGCGTGGCGGGCGTTGCGCCCAAAAATCAACGACTTGAACGCGCGCCGGAATTCGGTGTTAAAAATCGTGTAGATGATCGGGTTCATGAACGAGTTCATATAGCCGATCCACGTCGAGTAGAAGAATGGCCCGAAACCCACCTAAAAAAGATTGTTTTAACGACGCAGGTTTTTCGCGCTTCAAATTTCCTTTACCGTTTTGTTTTATCTCATATATTTATTAAATTTATTAAATCTATTTTTATTATTCATTTTATTATATTTATTGTTATTTATATTTAATTTACAAATCTATGGACTAATTCCAAACGAAAATTGAGTCTGATGCCACGGATTCTAGGCCAAATACGGCACGAAAAGGCACAAAAAAATAGAAGTTTCAAAAATTTCAAAAATGCAACATTTCTAGAATTTTGAGATAAAGGTATTTTTTGATATCGCCAGAGCCAAAGATTTGGATACGATGCAACGACTAATTTCGATCCAGAGCCAACAGAAAAAATGTAGGTTTCAACAATATCACCTTTCACCGGTTCAAGAGGTTTTGTAATAATAGATCAATCCTCGCTACGACTTTAACAAAAATTAACAAATTTTGACAATTTTTGAGCAGGATGAACGACACATTAATTCTAGCAATTTTCGGGAGGACTATTGATTACAAGAAACATTTTTTCAAAAAGCGCACCTGGCAGGATTGTTTGTTGAGCACATCACAGACGGCATTCAGAATATTGATCGTGAAGAATGGGACCCAGCAGACGAGGAATATCCCCACCACGATACCCAACGTCTTTGTCGCTCGCTTCTCTTTTCGCTGGTTTTTCGACACCTGAAAAGCATTAATGGTGTAAAGTAAAATGAGGGTTACTATTAATATTTTTTTTAGAATTTATTAGATATAGAAAACTATTTTTTATATCACACCTTTTACCATAAGATTCAAGGTATGCAAAAACACTAAACTGTTTTTTAAATTCCGTATGCTTCAGTTTTTTTTGACACCGAGCCATTTCTTTCGGTGCATTTATTACAGCTGTAGCGCATATTAATAAAAACATTGAAAAAGAACTTATTAAGAATAATTTAAAATATTTGGAAATGCGAAAAGTTGACTTGACTTTTAATACATTTGTTTTATTTGTTTGACGGCCGTACGGCATTGCCAGAAAAATTGTTGGCCCGCTAAGAATCCCACCCCCCCCCCCGCTAACAGTCCAGTACACGTTTTCAACCAGCAACTTTTATGATCTGCGTCTACGATTGCTTTTGACTTATTTTATATTTCACATTAAATTGGTTAGCTGCCTTTTCAAAACATAGTTTTATCGGAATCCTACCCGATTTGGTATTTTCCAAATTGTCTACGTTATTAAAAAATGTGTAGATAACGTTTTATTTTTGATTTTTGCAAAATTTTAAGTGGCCACTTCTTTGAATTGCTCTAATTCACCTCAAATCTTATATAGAATTTTCTAGAAAAATACCTTTCTCTTGAGGCTCTGCTCGTGTTTGATCGTCCTTTTCACCAGCCGATGCGCCAGACCGCTGTTGCTTTTCTGAAAAACATCAAATTTTGAGTAATTAACAATTCTAGGGATTTTAGGGTATTTCGGGAGGAAAAAGCTAGTTAGCAAAACGGGAAGGTCATAAAAATCCAGGAAAAGTAGCTCTAGGCATCGTTTTAAAGGGGCGGGGAAGTCTCGGCAGAAAGGGGCGGGGCCAAACCTCCGAAAAGATCACACGCGCTATCGTGACGGCCAGCTGAAAATTGGGGGTTTTGGGAGATTTTACAATTGTGAAATTTGATGTTTCGCCAAAGACACATGCGGCTGAAACACATACCCGAAATACCCGTACACGCTTTTTTTACACAATAACCGGCCAAATTGGTAAAGGTGTTTAGCATTAAATTTTTTACTATAATAAATCTTTGAGTCAAGGTTAGTACGTTGAAAAGAGTATTAATGAGCCGCATACTGTAGCGAAAGGCATAGTGGTTGCTAAGGGAACGTTAGCAGATTTCACTTTCTTATGTTTCATGAAAATAAGTTGAGCCATACGAGCCTGGTGGGTTAATTTAGTCTGTGTTGTTTGCAAATCAAAAATTTGAAAATTCCTATTTTCTTGTTACTTTCGAGTTTTCCGACTAAAATCAATTACGTTTCAATACGATGAGCGATCAACTTTCTAGATTTCTGGACTGGGTATGATGAATTCGAAAAACATTTTTTCGCGCAAACAAAAGTCGGCTGCTTTTTCTGGAGCAACTCGTACTATCGGCCGTTAGCTTTTTGTATAGGTACTTGGGTCAAATTTAGAGCTCAAGCTTTTTGCTGGATTTTTCATTCCTGATAGATATGCATGAAAGCAGATAGGTAGCCAGCGCATCCATATTCTTTTTTTGGGAGTGGAATTTTTCATGTTTCAGCGTATTGCCTTTTCACCAATGGTCGACCTCTTTAATCCAGTCCTTTTTTTGAGCTTTTCCTAATACGGTATTCCTTCGGTGAATCGGTTAATTAAAATTAGAATTAAACGTAGTACTAAAAATGAATCTAATTTCAAAAATAGAATTAGAAAATGAGAGTAACAAAGTAAGCGAGCTTTAATTGCGAGTAAAGGTACCACGAACCACAAAGTATTTTTTTAATGTTTCATGAATAAGTATTTTCATGTATTATTACCCTTTTTTAAATATTTCATGAATAGGAGGCGCATCCCAAAAATGCATCATTTCAATTAAATTTGGACGCGACGTTACCGTATTTTTTCCGGCAGAAAAGATTTTTCTTTTTTTGGGATATTACCCAAAAATCAATTCTCGACATTCTTATCAGCTTCGAAGGCTCAAAAAAAGTCCTAGCTTCGAGCTTAAAAGCTTCCGATTTCCCCATTACTTCGGCCGGATTTTTTAAATAGACATTTTTCGATGTTTCAGCGGTTTTACGTGTTCAGGAATAACCCAAAATTCAAATAAGTCGACTACAATCAGTAGAAAAAGTAACGATCAAAGCAACGATGAATTTTGTGCTAAAAAAATTGGTAGAGAATCCGTAGCCGAAAATATCCAAACGGGCCTGCCCGGTCCCTTTAAAACACGAGATGATTGTTTGGCTTTGGCACATTTGAATTTTGACAATGTCGAAATTTTAGTATAAAGTCAAAATTTTTGGTGAGCCGTGGATTTCGCCATTGTGAGATTCCGACATTTTAAAAATCCGATATTATGGCAATTCGGAATTTTAAAAATTCGATCTTACGGAAATTCGGCATTTTAGAAATTCGATGATATGGAACTTCGGGATCTTGATACTACCACATTATAAAAATTTCGAAATTGGGCGTCACCATACAAAATCGATAGGATACCTTTTTTACGGACTGATTCCGGGAGTCCACCGATTTCAGCGAGTCATTCCGGCTCTTCTCCGACGTGCTCAACATCGAGTCGAGTCGGGGAAGCCGAGGCGGGGGCTCCCTTTTTTCTAGAAACAATACCATTAAAGGAAATAAATACCAGCCTTGACCCAAAAAAATTGCCAGTTTTGATGCCCAAGTTGGTATGTAAAATCTTTGAAACACTTTTAAAATTCGGTGAATTTCCGTCAAAAAATTTCTCAAATTCTATGGCTTTATTTTTAAAATTTAAACTCCTATAAAGTAGTTTTTAAACTGGTAATATGGACATAATCTAAAAAACCTGATAAAATACACTCAGCTGGTAAAATTGGTTACAACAAAAAAAAATCAGGCATCGATTTTAATTGGATTTTAAAGCAGACATCGCAGAAATCATTAAAAAATTATCAAATACCGTAAACTTTTCAAGCTTGTTCAATTACAGAATTAAATCGTTGATTTGAATTGGATTTTACAGGAGAAATCATTGAAATCATTCATAGAGATTTCATAAAATACCGTAATTGGAACTGGTTAAATTCAAAAAAAAATTGAAAAATAAATTATACATTTTTATTGGCTTTAAAGCAGAAATTAAAACAGTTCTTTGAATAAAATCTTACCAGCATGCGCGTTTCGCGTCAATATCCGGACGATATCCTCACTGCGCCGCCGGCCCTCATCCCAGCATTCCTAGAAAAAACATATGTTTTAAGTTTTTGCCTCATAAAAAATAAATTACGATCCGGAATCCCTCCTTCTATTTTGGGCAAAACGATATTTCAAATTTTGTTAGATACTATTAACAGCAAATTTGCGAAGTTCGAGCAGCTTAAAAACGCTAGTGCTATAATTTAACGCGCTTTGAATAGCACAGTTACAAAAATATATTTATTAAAGAGGAAGCGAAGACTGCTAAAGCCAATTGCCTTATTTTATTTACCAAATTACTATTATCACATTAAGACGTAAATAGCTAAAATTAAGAAGCATCGACATTAAAAAATGTATTTAACCGGTTTATTTTGCATATGAGATGTCATAATACATTAAGCTACAGTATACAAAGCTTATTAAGGGATTATAGACCTAAAGAAATACCTTACATGTTTCCTGGAACTTTCAAAAAAATTCTGGAAACTGTTATTTTTCAAGTTAAATTACATGCCCGATTGTCTGGTTTTGCTAAAGCCATTGTAATTTGAAATTGAAATTAATTAATAATAAGTAATTGCTACTAATTAATAAATATAAATAATAATACAAATAAATTAATTTAAAATCGATACCTTGAGCCTTGTATCTTCTTCGGGCTGGCTGGGTGAGGCGGCCTTGGCTCGAACCGTCATCGAGAACGTGACGGTTGGCTGAAATTCATCGGTATTCGGCATAAAACTTTCTTATTTTGTCTTTAAATTGAGACGTTAAAAACGATTACGGCGAAACGACGAAATACAATCGTTAATTCTTGTTGTACTAACAAGCTCAACAATCATGGAGAATTAATGGTTGTCAAAACACATTTTTTTGTGTTTTCTAAGTCGAGCGGGAAAGGATTAAGGGATGCGGAAACCATAAAGATGTATTTTGATAGCCCGAAATTTTCTTATAGATTTTTATATTCCCGCCGATAAGATAAATGACATCGTGAAAGACAGCTTTTTGATGCACATAAGGGGAGAAGCTGCCAGTATTATTTAATAAGCCCAACAATCACGGAGGACTAAAATTTGTTAAAACACATTTTTTCCATTTTTCAACGTCGAGCAGAAAAGACTGAAAGGGTGCACAAACCACAAGATGTATCAACTATAATAATTTTCTTAACGCGTCTGTCTGTCCGTCCGAAGCCGAATTCAACTCGAAGGGGAAAGGAGCTAGAGCTTAGCTCTCTTCGGATTCGGATAGAGCGTGGTCAGAAACCCCCAAACTGATAAAAAAATTATGAAAAAGTTTTTGTTTAAATTATTAAAATTAACTTTGAAAGTTTTTTCCTTAGTAAAAGGGTGGGGACGGAGGTTGGGGTGATTTTGGACATAGTGAGCCAGGTCGCGCGCGTTTCGTGGATGAAAATTTTCATGGATGCCATTTCATTTCTTTTTCTCTCATTTCATCCGGTCGGTTGTTATTTTTGTTTTTAAAGGGGCTTCGGCTTGGGGAGGTATCTAAAGCCATCGGGAAAGTATTTAGGTAGTTTTTGAAGGGGATTTCGGCTAGGGGAGGTATCTGAAGCCATCAGGAAGGTATTTAGGTAGTTTTTGAAGGGGATTTCAGCTATGGGGGGTATTGATGGAGGTGGGAAAGGATGTGGTGGAGTGAGACATTTAGGGTGGCCCGAAGGCCAGATGGTTGCAGTCGCGAAGCGACTGTAACCATCTGGTTTTATATAGATAAAGCTGACCACGACTCTAAACATAAATGTCATCGTAAAACACGGAATTTTGATGCAAATGAGCGATGAAATTTTTCGGCACTAATACTCTGCACTAATTAATAATAATATCAATCACAGAACACGAAAATTTATCAAAACACATTTTTTTCAGTTTTTCAAAAGCGAGCGGGAATGGCTTAAATGGTGTACAAGCCATTATGATGTAACTTGTTAACATTAAATTTTTTTTGACCTTTGCTTGGCTAAAAAATGTTTCATTTCATTTACTCTATCGGGCTAAGTCAATATATTTAGTGCATTTAGAAGAGGTTTGGTATCTGCAAGCGACATTACAATTTTTAAAGTTTTCCAGGACGTTTTAATTTTCAAAAAAAATTTTCGCGGTTGAATTTTAATGGAACCAGACCTGGCTCTCATCCGACGTGCTGGCATCGGGTTTGGCCGTCTTGTTCTCGATGATAAATGGGAGTCGGACTTCTTCATCGAAATTCTCCGGTGAGCCGAGTAGTTCGCCTAAATTTGGTAAGATCGGTTTAATTAGGGGGAATTTAGGGATTCGATAAAATTATGATATCTAGGACATTTTGGCTAATGAGAGTTTGTGAAACACGTCTTGAGAACAATCCGTTCCAGGTGTTGTCCTACGAAACACGGCTCTGGTGGCGTCGATTTCCACAGGAATATATTAAGAATATATAGTATATGAATATAGAACATAATAATGGCTGCGGCCAATTTTTTTGGTAATTGTAATATGTGAAACATAACATAGCGAAAATGTCCCAAAAAATCGATTTTCTAAAACAAAACAAAAAACAAAAAGTCTAGCGTTCCGCAGCCGCGCCCGATTTTGACGATTTAGGTACTAGATTTAGGTATTTTATGGTATTTAGGTGTTTAGGTATCTACCGAAAGCTCTCGGAAATAAGAGCAAACAGGCACTTTTCGTTTTTCAATATCGTCATTTTAATTCGCGAATTTTAGGACTAAAACCCATGAAAGCTTCAGGTTGATGCAAATTCCGCATGTTAATTGATTGCTCAAGCTAAAAAGACGACGTTACTTTTACGATCTTTTAGGAATTCTTTTAATATCGAGCGAGCGCTGAAAAAATGGTAAAACAAAAAGCGCTTGTTTTCTCGCCTTTTCGATGGCTTTCGAATGGTGTAAAAATCATCCGGGTCGGATCTTTCTCCGGACCGCTAGAAGGACCCTGAGGACCCTTGGAAAACCCTGTGATTTATTTGAACACACTGGCCGTATTTATACTACTGGATACCGTCAATTTTTGCCCATCGAAATTTGTGAAACATGGGGGGGGGGGGTAAATCTCTAAAAATGATTATTCTGCTCTACCGCGCCAGCTCATTTTTTGAAAACATTTGCCCCAACATATTACTGTACCCGGTCAATTTTTGCTAAGCGAAAATTTGTGAAACACGCTTTGGAAAGCCTATAAAAATCAATAATCTTTTCTTGAAGTACAACGTAATATTATTTACCGACGGCTTACATGTCATTATTATTGCGTACCGTCCATTTCAGCTACTGGAAATTCGCGAAACACGCTTTAGCAAATCGATAAAAAATCCTATTCTTCCCCTGGCGTGCCATCTAATTTTCTTCGCCAATGAAAGGATTACACATTACTGTACCCCGTCAAATTTTCCCGAACGAAAATTTGTGAAACACGCTTTGGCAAAAGATCCTCATCTGGCAAAAACAAGGTTTTTCTTTTATTTTGTGCCACGACATGCCTCTTGTCATGAACCATGAATGACATTTTCAGGAGGGGACCAGCGAATTCCGGGGAATTTTTGATGTTTTGAAAATATGTAAAAAAAATTCGGAAACCGATGAAACCCGCCATGTGAGGGATCAACTACTGTTTTAACGATTTCATCTGAACATCCAACAAACATGAAACTCAGTTTTCTGATGACGATTATCTTTCATGAAAATAGAATTTAACTGTTCCAAAACCATCAAATGTAACTAGTATATATCCGAGATATCAGTATATCCAAGAACCCGATTGTTTCTTGATAAGGCCACTTTTTGAAAAAGGGCTGGACAAATTTATTTAACGATGCAATAAAAGCTATCACCCCCACTTTCCAGTTTCCATAGTGCGGTCCAAAAAAACTGTATAGATTACTAGGTAACATCGTTGGGTTGCAGTTTTTAATGGCCTACTTTATTCTGCTAGAAAATATCGCTGGAAATTACGAAAACACTTTGCCCATAATTTAGCAAAAAAATTTCATTAAATCTAGGCCCAATTTCTGCAATTGCGAAAAATGCCATCGTGAAATTTTGGCCAATTTTTACATAGCGTAAACGGTTGGAAAGCTTCGAACTCGCGATCGATTTTTGAACAAACGTTCCGACGCCTCATATTAAGAGTCTGCTAACGACGCCCAGACATTGGAATTTTTTGAAACTCACTATTTACAGTGGTCGACCGGGAGAAGCTCGTGTTTTGCACGCCCTCGCTCAGCGTGATAGGTCTGAAAACGAATGAGTTTTTTGATGGCGTTGAGCTAATTAAAAATTTTGATTTTTTTCTTAGCATAATACGCCTTGATTAAACCGGATTTTAAAGGAGATAACAAATCTTTAAACGAAAATTCTGGAAGTTAAGGGGATGTCCAGCTCATCAACTAACGTGGCTTCTCAAAATTTTACATTGAAATGTGTCGAAACATATAAATTTTGTTAGAATTTTTAGTACTAGGTTTTCACTGCCCTTTCCTCAAGAATCTTTACTAGCTTGCGCTTCGCGACAGAATCTTCTAAGTTAGACTGTTAAAAATAGTGCTTCGAAAACCTCATGCTGATTAAACCGAACCGATCTCGACTGAAGGTATCGCCGGATTTTTGAAGCATTTTTTTTAAAATCAGGCATTTTTGGCAGGACTTGGAAAGCAAAATCTATTGCTAATTTATCATTTCCTAAAGAATCTCTACTAGCCTGTCTTTTATCTAGACTTTGAAAACCCCCCGGGGGAGCAAAAAATACCCCTAAAAACCCCCCTGAAGAACCCCCCCCGCGGGGGTGTTTTAAAAACCCCTCCGTCCAGATGTTCGTTAGTGGGACCGAATTGGCACCGATGAGTGGGCCAGGTATGCGTCTTTTGCTGAAAGGTGAAAGACGCGGATCTGGCCCACTGATCAGAAATACCAGTACGGCCGATCGAACAAATGGAACTTTCGAGAACCCGGGTTTTGGTTCAATTACCCAAGTTTGCGACGGGGGGTTTTCAAATACCCCCGGGGGTATTTCTCGGGGGGTTTTCCAACTCTACTTTTATCAAAGAAACTCTGCTAGCTTGCTCAATCCAAAAGAACCTCTGCTAGCCCGTCCTTTCCTAAAGATTCCCTGCTAGTCTGCCCGACCCTGTAGAAACTCTGCTAGCCTGCTGTTTCCTAAAGAATCTCTGCTAGCCAACCCATTCTTAACGAATCTCTGCTAGCCTGTCCTTTCTCAAATAATCTTTGCCAGCCTGTCATTTCCGTAAGAACTTCTGCTAGCTTGCCCTTTCCCAAAGAATTTCTGCTAGCCTGCCTTTTCCTAAGAAATCCCTGCTATTCTACCCTTCCCTAAATAATCTCTGCTAGACTGCCCATTCCTAAAGAATCTTTGCTAGTCTGCCTTTTCGAAATTAATTCCGGCTAGCCTGTCCATTCCTAAAGACTTTCTGCCAGCATGCCATTCCTTTAAGAATCATTGCTTACATTTCCCAAAGAATCTCTGCCAGGATGCCCTTCCTCAAAAATCGCTGCCAGCCAGCGATTTCCTCAACATCTCTGCTAGCTTTTCATTACTAAAAAATCTCTGCCAGCCTTCCTTTTCCCAAATAATCTCCGCGTTACTGACGATGTATCGATTAAACAAAAAAACCGTGGCCATGTGGGCAAAAATGAAACATTTTGTTTTTTTATGTCTTCCGCCAGCCCAACAGCTCTACTCTTGTCATAATTTTTTGTGCGATTTTTCATTAAATAAATGAACCGACTTTTTCCGCTGCGGCCTATACCCCGTCAGGGGTTCCATCTCGGAGATTGAGCATTTTTGTCCGGCCCGTATCCGGTCCATCCCGTTTCCGTCGTTTTTGCCGCCCTCACTCCTACCCGTCGTCGGATTGGACAGCACCACCTAGAAAAGTAAATATTAATTTTCTAAAGTTGCTTTTAGTTATTTTTCGAGACACTCTTCCATGTGTTTTACGCTATTTTTCGTTTTTTTTCTTTCTATAGTCGGTTCTATTGCATTTTTTCAATTTTTGCTTTTTTTTTCTGTAACCAATGTTTTCTAAGTATCTGTTTTTTCTAATATAAATAGAAGAAGTGTTTCTAACGATTTTTTTACTTATTCCCAAACGTAAAAACTATACAAATTTTTGTTTAAAAAATTCAAAAATAGCGATTTTCCGGCCAAAAATAACCGATTTTCGAAACAAATTAAGCCTAAATTTTTCTACGTTTTTATTTTTTTCCTTTAAAACATAGTTAAAGTTCGCTAAAAACACTTTTAAAGCACTTACTAATATGTTTCTGGGATCATGGAAAAAGTAGGTTTTTAGAGTTTTGATGTTTCAACAAAACGCCCAGTTTTTTCGAGGGTGAACAATACAATTCTGCACGGATTGACACCAGCCTATTCCGTTTCAAAAATCTTGACTACTCGCATGTTTCTAGGAGACGATTTGCTATGAGTTAAAGTGACCGAAATATCGCACCAAATTACAATAATAAATATTCAACGCACCGCTTCATGTTGTTGCTGTTTCGCACGATTCGGTCGGAACAGCTTGGGGCTTTTCATCGAGAGTTGCCGGATGATCGATGGGATCAGCTCGGATTTGGAGGATCTGAAATTTTAAGGTTATTAAATGCATCTAAATTGCAAGTTTTACAAACTTAAATTATAACTACAAAAATTCTTGAGCAATTGGACCATCGATACTGTCAAATATCGTAAGGCTGCTTATGTGTTTTTGGCCTGAAACATTTTTCCAAAAGCCCGATAGAACAGGGTGTCCCAATAAAATGGCACCCCCTCTAACTCGAAGCAGAAGTATCGGATCGGAATGATAGTTACACCATTCGAAAGCCCTTGCAACGGCCAGTAGGCAACAATCTTCCAAATCATGTTTTTATTTAAACCCTCTATTTTACAAGCCATTTTGTAAAATTTGCGCTTTTTCGTGGCTGCATACAAGCTAATTTGCCTCAATTTCTCCAAGAGAGCGAGGATAAAGAGATAAAGTGTAGGCGAAAAAAAGAGATAAAGTGTAGGCGAAATAAGAGGTAGGCGGAATAAGATGTAGGCGAAATAAGATGTAGGCGAAATAGGATGTAGGCGAAATAAGAGGAGGCGAAACAGCGGTAGCGAGATGCAAATAGGCGGAATCAAGTTTTCCCATAGCACTGCACTAATCTCGTTATCAAACCTTGTCCAATGGTAACTTTTTTGAAACATTTTGTCAAACACAAATTTTCAAAATGCAAAAAGAAGCTTCAATCTAAAATCATTTTAATCGCTTTTTTTAGTTATGACAAGCCTTACAAAAATTATAGAAAATTTCGAAAATTTTTGACTTAAATCTACTTTTGACAATCGAAAACTACTCAAAACTCTTTAAAATGATGAATTATGATCTATTAAACATTTTATGAACAAACAAACAAAACCTCGACAATTTAAAAAGACGGGCTCCTGAAAATGTTGAAATTTTGGCAATTTGAAGACTTGTGGAAAAAACAAATGTTTTTTAAAATTTACTGTATCGGGGAATATAGTTTGGTTTAATCATCGGTTACTGCGATCGAGTCGATTATGCAATGGAATGGCGGGCGTGCGCGCTGCGTGTCGCTTCGCGGTAAAGTCAAAAACCAACAAAATCCATGGGAATGCTCTTCCAGTACCTTTAAAACCGAATAAATACTCACTGAAATCGCCGTGGTGACTTTTTGACCCGTCGATCCGTAGATTCACCCGAATGATTGGCGGAAGAGTCGTGGAAATCGGAGGAATGTCTAAAATCGGAGGTATTCTCCACACCAGCACCACACCGTATTAACAGAAAAGCTTGTATCTTAACATGCGAATTCGATGAAAGATGATTTTTATTGCACGTATTCCATTGAACTGAACTTACATTTTGCAATGTTTTATTGAATCAAAAAATCAAAATCAAAATGAATAGTAGATTAAAATGCAAACTAAAGATAATTTTGAACTTTTGACACAGAACGCCAAATTTAATAGGCAATGTTTCAGAACGAATAGCTAGCAAAATCGGATTAAAGGTTGGATTCTACTTCAAACTTGTCGCGAACACTAGAGGAAAAAGCCGCTTCGCGGCGGTTTCATTGGCCGCTGCTAGGTCCACATCATCGTATTCACGACAAAATGTCTACCAAAATACCAGCGCTGTTTTTCAAATCGGTGCGAAATTTGTATGAAACATTTTTATTTTCCGAAACGTTAAGCTTTTTTGACCGGGGACTCCGGCAAACTGGAATCAGCCCGGAATTAACCGGAAATTCGCTTCTATGGTTAAATTTAAACTCACCAATTATTTCCTTTTTAAAGTTTTAAATTAAATAGGGAAATTTAATAATTTCTCTTACCTTGACATATTGGTGTAGACGTCCGAAACAAAGTCGTTCGTCACGACGTGATGGTCCTCGTCGAGCGAATCGACTGACGATCTACAAAAGATTTTTTGCACTTGAAATTAAGATGTTTCAATCCTTTTTAATCAATCAATAAAATTAATATGACTTGAAAGTCGGCGTCCGATTAATTCCTATTTCCCCTTTAGTAAAAATTTTAATTTTGAGAATTTCAACCTATAACAATTAGCAACGTCATTTAACTATTTATGAACAACGGAAAGTTAATAGTGGCATACTCCATGATAAGCATGGTTAAGGCTGGAAGAAAAATACCAGCGATTTGTTCCCTTTGAAAAAAATGTTTCGAAAAAGTTCAATGGATCAATATAATTGCGCGCTTTTGCAAAAGGAATTAGTGGTATTCGGTGCGTTGGATTTTCGAAAAATGTCGTCAAAATCACGCTTTCACGTAAAAGGTACAAGTAGGATAACGGGGGGGATAAATGGCGTTAAATACGTGTTGGCATCGCAAGTTTTACCCAGTAATTCAGAAATTCCATTTACAAACTTTTTTTCGAGTAACCACGTGGAGCCTATTGCTAAACTAAAAATGCACCTGACCAGGAAACTTTGTGTAACATCTATCTTTATCATCAAAATCTTTTGTGCGCTACTTGCCATTTTACTCCAAATTTAATTCTGCTAAAGATGTCGTAATCGATTACGACACTTTTGGCGCGTCAGGGGAACACATGAGGAATCTACAGCTTAAAACCCACCGTCAAAAATTGCGATCGATAAAAAATCTCCCGAAACACCAGGTTTGGAAAGAACTTTGTCGTCGAAAAACAATGTTTCGTCAAATTTCCTAGTCACGCGAATTTCTGCGTTCGGCAATGCGTCTTTTGCCTCCTCGTTCATAATTTCAATTGGGAATTTAGCAAATTACGAATTACCCGGTTAAAAAATTGCGAGACTTATGCGACTTACTGATACGACGTATTTAATTCCTTTAAAAGTTAGAATATTTTTCGGGTTTTTGGCCACGAGATGCAAAATTTGAATATCGACGGCTTTGGGGTGTGCTTTTACTTATTCGCGTTCTATTAAAAATTATAGCGTTAAAATAACGATCAAACTCTTCCAAAAAAATGTGTTTTGAAAAATCCCCGAGACCGGGTCTTTTTTGCGATAGCGATACATCGAAAGCTCGTATTCAAAAAAAAAATTTACCTCGGTGTCGACGAGGTCCTCTCCTGCCCATTCACCGCAACGTCCCTTTCATCTGCAAAATTTCCATTGTATTATTTTTAAGAGCTATTTTGTATCGTCGGCGCGGGAAACGTGATTAACATTTTGAAAAATTTTGTTTTTAAATTAATCTAAAACACGTTTTTTTCACATTTACCGCACCGATGCCACCAATACCAATTTTTGCTGTTCTAATTTTTGTGATATTTAATTGTTAGAGTTGCGCGTGCGGCATACAAGTAACAGAAAAATTCAACAGAAATTGAGGGATGGGTTTTTGCAGTACTTTGCATGCGAAAAACCAGCGAATCCATGCACATGCAAAATTTGTAGTTTTTAACGTACACGGCGTGGTTTTCAGTTCATGCAAATTCCTCTAGAATTTCTAGCATTTCTAACATTTTCTAGACATTTCTAGAACGTTCTTGAACTACAAAATTCACGGCAAATCGACGATCGGTGTTAGTAGCGTGGAGGTGGTGATGGGCAACCGATGAAGATACGGTACATAATTTTTTTGAATGGATTGGTATAATGAGAGTTGTATATACAGTTAATGGGAATCGGAAGCGTATTTCGAACTTTCTTTGGGCCTATTTCCCATGTCTTGCAACTATTAATAAATGGACAAAAAACCTAAATTTAAAAAATCGTAGAGACTCGTTGGACTCGGCGTTGCGAGAGCGAATACCGCTCTCTATCCCGAAATTCTGTATCCCGAAACACCCAATCCCGAAATTCTGTATCCCGAAACTCCCAATCCCGAAACTCTCTATCCCGAAAACTCTCTATCCCGAAAACTCTCTATCCCGAAAACTCTCTATCCCGAAACTCAGTATTTGCGTTTCCTAACGCCCTACATCCTTGAAGGCATCGGAAAATCATTTTATCGAATTTCCGAAACCGAAAAATAGCGGAAAACTATTTACTTCAAAGATCTAGTCTGGTGTTCGGTACGTTAAAGCTAGCTAACTTGTTTCGGGATATGGAGTTTCGGGATAGAGAGTTTTCGGGATAAAGAGTTTTCGGGATAGAGAGCTTTCGGGATAGAGAGTTTTCGGGATAGAGTTTTCGGGATAGAGAGTTTCGGGATTGGGTGTTTCGGGATACAGAATTTCGGGATAGGGGAAATACCCCTGCGAGAGCTGCCGAGAGATACCGAAATCGAAAAAATCGGACACGTCTGACTGGCATCAACATGGCTACTTCGCATTAACGAGAATCAGATTTAGGTCGGCTGCTATTTGTGCGAAACATAGTCGTTGTTGAAAATTTTCATCTTCTTTCTGGAACAAGAACAAAGTTCTTCAAAAAGATCCAAGTTTACGTTACGTTCAAGTTGATGTGTTTTACAGGAAATTACAATGGCCCCAGAAAATCCCCTCTAGCAGTTCGTAATGGTGTCCGTTTTTCACGATTTTACCATACTGTTCGGAACCCTAAACTGGCCTTTTTCAAATTAAGAGCGGCTGCTATTTGTGCGAAACATAAAACATTTTGGAAAATCTGTATAAAATAAATTAGGTTTTTCGAAGCAAAGTTAGTGCGAGAGTCTGAGAGTGAGAAATTTGATTTAGTGCCTGGAAAAAATTCAGTTTTGAATCCCATTAATTTTCATTATTGTGACATGGGGGCCACTTAATTATTTTTGTGGCTAAAGTTTTGAACGGAAAAAATTATTTGGCGTCAATTCAACACATAATTATTTTCAGAAAGTACATGCATTTCCTAGGATTTCCAAAACATATTTTTGGTGAACCTTATGAAGCTGGCGCGGCCCTTCGGATCTCTTTGTGCCTATCAAATTAGCCAAAAACGAGGGAGAGAGAGCGAGAGAGAAAGATAGAGAGAGAGAGAGAGAGAGAGAGAGAGAGAGAGAGAACGGGAGGAAGAGTGAGAGAGAGCGAAAGAGCGAGCGAGAGAGTGAGAGCGAGATAAGGTGTCGTAATCGACTAAAAATTTGATGGACTATTCATTGGTATCCCCAGTAATAAGTTAGTATGGTGATACGGTGGTTAAAGTGACAGTGAAGATACACAAAAACACAGGGGTGGACAGCCGCACAAAGCACATCACATTCACACGTACTGAGTAGAGGCGGTAGGGCGACGAGTGGAAGAGCGGAGGAGAGCGACGTTTCTGTATGCCACAGCCTATCGACACAAGCTGTCGATCGACCAGCCACAAAGTCCTCCTCTTCCTCCGCTCTCAGCTCCTCTTCTAGTAGATCATCTTCATCAGGGTAGAGGGCAGCCGCGTCGCGACCACCACGCGACCGCCCCGCGCCCTGGTGGCGGCCACCTGCTGCTTGGATGGCACGCTGGTGACGCTCGAAACGACGCATCCGTCGCGACATCGAAGGAAGGGCGAGCATCATCACGTTTACGGCTGGAATTAGGGGGAGGGATGGGGGATGGAGATGAACATCGACTTGATGCGGGGAAGGTGGATGGGTAGATGAATGAAAAACAAGCGGGGAAAGTCTTGGAATTTTGTGATGTTTCAAAATTTTTTAAATTACAAGGCGCTTTAGACGATGCAATGTTCAGTATTCTTGAAATTTTTTAGCTACTTTACCGTTGGCTTTTGAGTGTTTATATTATTTATAGATTATTTTAGCCCTTTAAGCGAAAATTTTGCAAGACTTAACTTTCAACATTTTTCAAAGCTCAGCGAAATTTATTTGTTAGCGATAGACATATGTTATGCATAAATTAAAAAGCTGCTTGTCAGACTTTTCAATCAGAAAATCATTTTATTGTTTGATAAAATATACAGTGAAATTTTACAATTTTTTGATGTTTCAACATCTGCCAAAGTTTATTAGGTGCAAACGTGCGAATTATGTTATCAAAAAACTTATATGATCTATTTAATGGTTCTCGAAATCTTGGCAAGGCTCTATTTAATCGTTTTAAACGTTTCAGAATTGAATAATTTCTTTATTAATTAATTTTCCATTTTAAGTTAATTTAACTTTATAAAAGGCAAACGGCATGGAAATTTTTGAATTTTTCTGATGTTTCGGCGCTTTCCAAAGTTAAAAGGATTTGTCTATTTCTATTTATCTGCCATCGGTAAACGATTCAAAAAATCCTCGGATCTACAAGAAATCCTTAAATAATCCTCGTAACAGTTTAGAATTTGCGATCATGATAGAATTTGCCACCTTATTTCAATGCTGCAAATTTTAAATGTATTATGAAAAGCAATGCAAGTTTTGATTTGGAATATTATGAAACATTTTCACAAAAATGTTTTTTTTTTTACGAATTTCTTCGTAACTTCATATATTAGCACAACCCTAACCGTACAATTTTTGAAAACGTCAAAATCATCTTAAAGTTCGGGCTAGCCAAGTTTCGATTTCGAATCTCGATAAACATGTTTCAAAAATATCACTGTTTCCTTACCACGACCCGTGTCTTAATTGTTTGTTTTAGAACGGCAATAAATCTATTTTAAATAGTTTGTTTGTATTAATATTAATTAATTAACTCGTTCCACTCAATTATAACATCAACGCACACCGGTTAATGACGAGCGGGGTAGGCGAAAATTGCAAAAAAATAAAAATAAAACTGCCCGGAAGTAAATTTTCACGACAACGGGGAAGACGGGGGATTACGGTGGGGTTTTGAAAACGAGCCAGAAGTTAGCAATTTTTTTCTTTCGCTACGTTAAATTTATAAGTTAAATTTTTTCGCGTTGATTTTGTATACTTAATTTCTACAATATGTTAAAAGTTTCTCTTTTCTTATTTAAGGAATTATAATAAAGTGATGATTAATAAAGTTCGGTTAATTGTATGAAAAATAGTAATCGGATTTATTTATTTGTTTCTTATCTCAATTTCAAAGTTTTGCCGTTCAAATTCAGTCATTCAAAAAACTTTTTTTCTTTGAAATCCATGTTTCAAAAAATAAGTGATTTCGGATCCACATTTTGTTCCTACTGCAAGCTCTGCTCTGCCGAAAAAAATTTACAAAAATAATCACTTTTTAAAGGTTGGAAGTAGTAAATGAGTAGATACAGAAGCGCTGAAGCCAAGGAAAGGTATCACTTTTAAGGTTGAAAAATAATAAAAAATATAAACCTGGTCCGGCGACAATTTTCCCAGCCTCGTCCTCCTCCAGGCTGCCCGTCTGCCGAACCGAGCTGCAATTAAAAACAGATAAATTTTTCCAAGCAAATTAATTTATTAATATAAAATTATTATGTATTATTTTTTTCCCATTCCATTCAATTATTATCAGAATCTTCTATTAAGCAAAAATTATTATTTTTATTTTTAAGTTATCTAAAAACGTTTTTTCGGTGTGTGTTTTATCAATTTGGATCTTACTAGCGCTTTTTCGAGCTACAATTAAATAAATAGAGTGTCTACAACATTTGATTTGAAGAACTATCATATTTTTACTAAGAAGCTACATGATAACTTGAAAAATGCCCCGATACGCCCCACTGCCTCCACTTTTATAAGAAACTTTTTTTTGGCAAATGGCTCGCAGCCTTAAATAAGGATCGTATATTACGAAAATGCCACTAAATTTGTTGATCTACAAATGCCATATGATACTTCTCAAAATACCTGCCAGCGGCCGGAAGTAGTGTCCGATTTTTACGATTTATGTTTTACGTATCTATCGGGGGCCCTCGGAAAAATGCATCCTCCAATTTTCGAAAATTCGGCATTTCTTGCTAGGTTTCCGGCATTTGCCATGCGAAAGTTCCATGTTTTTCGCCGCAACCTCAATTGAATCAGTTTCAGCTCCATCTAAGCTTTGTTTTCTCAAACGGCCTAAACCAGAAAAGGCGTAAAAATTCCGTAAATGAGGTTTCTTGAAAACCCCTATCATAGGAAAAGGATCAGAAAATTGGCCGGGTCCGGAACAGAACTTAGTGGGCGCAAGAAAAATTCGGGAGTTTCGCAATCCAAAATAAAACACCTCCTCAGTTTTACGAATGCATTAAATAGATACCTAAATCGTAAAAATCGGGTCCCCATTTCTAAAAATATCGATTACCACAACAACTTGCACGGTTTTTTGAAAACCCATGTTTCATGCAAATAGCGCTCTTGAAATGCCCTGAACACGCTAATATGCCTTTGTTCAACTTGATTTCTAAAAATTTGATAAATATTTCATCCTAATTATATCTGTATTTTTTCTGAATCTAAACTAGGGTAAGGTTCGGCATACGATACCTTGTTGTGGAATGTTGTTGCAGCTGGCTGATTCTCCTCATCTTAGCCGCCCGCTCCCGCTGCTTCAGCGCCACCATAATTCGAATGTAGACGAACAGCACGAGCACGCATGGGATGACGAATGAGATGATTGAAGAGCTAAAAAAATTCTTTGGTTTGAGTAGTGCAGAGAATTGTCAGCGGAAAATAAGCTTGCTACATTAAATTGATGAAACGTTTTTTTTGGAAAACGTAAATTTTCATAAAAAATATTTTTCTAGCCATACGTTGATTTTCAACAAATAATTGACCCACACTAGGGATAAAAAATTTGATATGCCAACCAAATTTATTGAAATTTTTTTAAGAATTTTTGATATCGTCGTCGAATGAGAATCTTTTGAAACTAAATTTATTAGTTATCCAAAAGTACCTCACAATTAATTTTAATCTAAAAATTTTTTTTTATTGAACTAAAGGAACATTTTTCTAAAAAAAATGAAAATTGCGCGGAATAGGTTAAAATCTTGTGGCGTCGCTTGACGCTAATGAAACCGTGTTACATTCAAATTTTTTGGATGGCCATTTCTTTGATTAAAACGTGTTTCCAGAATTTTAAGAATTAAAATCTCGGAAATACAGAAGGCGGATTGACGAAAACAATATTCCCGAATAGTGCCGTGTCTTGAAACTTTTTTATTTAGGGTGCTCAAATCTATCGAGCTAGTAAGATGAGCAAAACCCATAATTTAGTGCAGATAAAATTCATTTAGTTTAGCATAAAACTAATTCTTCACAAATTTATAAAATTTGCGTAAATTAATTTTAAATTTCGTTTCGTAATTAAAATAGAATAATAATTAAATTAAATTTCGTGATTAAATTATTGTGGTGATGAAAGTTATTTGTAAGCGGAAACCTATGAAATTCTCCCCGAAAAAAGTAAGTTGATCATCTTGGATTGCCAAAAGATCTTATTTTTAGCAATTAGGAAACTGATGCGGAGAGAGAAAGAGAGAGAGCGAGAGAGAGAGAGAGAGAGAGAGAGAGAGGGAGAGAGAGAGAGAGAGAGGGAGAGGAAGGAAATTTAAAAATTACCCGATCGAAAAAGCGGCGTTGTAAAACCGGCACTCTCGCTCGCTCGCGTTTGCAGGCCGTGTGTTCATCCCTAAAAAGTATTATTTGGTCTGATTGATGCCTTTGAAGGTGCTCGTGGTTTTTGATTGCTCTGAAAACCGCAAAAATTCTATGTTTCACCAGAATTGACGATGGGTTGGGGAAATGTTTCGATTAATGCATTGACGTCTTCTTTGAATTTTTAAAAGGCGCAAAACAAGCCAAAACGGTACGGGTTACCTGTTACCGGGGGGGTAGAGGGTAGCAGGGGTTTCGGAAGCGAGGAACCAGAAATTTCTGGGTTTCTTTTGTTTTGAAAGGGATTCCGAAGGCCTAGCTCGATGACTCCTGAGCGACTTTTTGGCGAAATAGCCAGCAGGGCCGCCCAGAGGGATGCAGAAGCATTTGATTTCCCTCGCGTCACCGATTACTGACGCTGTCGCTATCCCTTTAAAGGGGCTCCGAAATCTGGTCCACGCCGCCCTGCGTAAATTCCTGGCAAATAGCCAGATGCGACCGCAACGCGACCGCGCCGCATGGTCTTTTGCCCCTGTTTGGACGTGAAAACGCTTGGATTTCAAAATTCTGAAACTATTTCAGGAACCGTCAAGGCATTTTGATCATTCTAGGCTTTTTAATCATGAAAATTGATCAGAGAATCACCGAGATCGAGAGATTGGGTGCCTTACAAGGCATTACGACATGTAATCGCCGCGCGCTCAAAAGGTCCGGTCCGGTGGTTTTCTGGTGTAGCAAATTGCGGTCCGGTGCACAACCGCCCATGGGTTCAGTCCAGATGGTTCAAGGGAAAGGGCGTACTGTACGTGTTTTTCGCGCGTTGCGTGCGGGTGCGCGGAATAGCAAGCGGTTTTTAGCTGCGCCGGCCTGCTTTCGCAATTGCGCGACGCGTCTATCGCACGTGTTGCGGTCTTCCCTCCTTTCCAAAGTTACCGGACGTTTTATTAGGAGCCGGGCCGCTGTGGGTGAACATTTCGGTTTTTCTCAAATATTTTAAGTTTTCCAAATCGAAATCATTTTTCTGGTGTAGCAAATTGCGGTCAAATTGGAGCGAAAAATTTTTCGGATCAAGTCACATAGTTGAAACACACAATTTTGCCCAGTTTTTTGAAAATTTGAAAAACGCAGCGTACCGAGGACCATTGGGCTGGCGACCAGCACCGAGATCATCCAGATGATGCCCAGAATCACGAAGACACGTTTGATATTCTGCGCCTGTCTGGAGTACTGTATCGGACGTGAGACGGCGCGGTATCTGAAAAAGTCTATTTTTCGATCGATTAGTTTTTGAACGCTTCGTTAATTATCCATCTGAAGAGCTGATTTGCAGCCGATTGAGTATTTCTATCGAGCTTTTGTTGAAACACGGATTTTCAAAAATCGAAAAAGTGGAAAGCCTTGGCTCTGGTCATTATTATCAAACCAAAATCGAGTAAACTTTATAAAAGGATTTAGCTCTTTTCTAAATCAAGGCGTGCGTAATTAAAATCGGAGTCGGTTTCGATGAAACGCACTGATCATTCATTACATCGGCAGTTTTATTAAATAAGAAACAACTATAAAATCCAATAAACTTTATAAAATTAATACAAACCAGGGTTGAACAGCCGCTTCGCGACTTTTCAACCCTGGACCCGTCTAAATTCCATAATATTCTTCACTAGTGTTGGACAGCACCCCAAAGAGAGCACCCCGGGGTGCTTTTATTTTCACCCCGGGGTGCTCTAAAAAAGCACCCCGGGGTGCTTTCAAAAACCACCCCGGGGTGCCCCCAAAAAGCACCCCGGGGTGGGAAAGAAAGAAAGCACCCCGGCCGAGAGAGGGGTGCTCTGGAAAGCACCCCGCCCCCCAGTGGGGTGCTCCAGAAAGCACCCCAGCCGCCCTTGGGGTGCTCCAGAAAGCACCCCGGCGTGCTTTCGGAAGCACCCCAGGGGTGCCTTTTGGGGTGCTCTGTGGGGTGCTGTCTGGGGTGCTTTTTGGCAATGACCGCAATATATGAACTAGACTATTTTGATCGAATCAGGAGATGAACATCATTTTCGAGCAGTTCGCACAACTCGGTGCCAATTCGATTGCAACTCATTTGGGGGTCGTTTGGTAGCATTTCTTCTAGGTTGTTGAACACGGCGGACGATTTCGAGAGGTTTTTTTCTAACCGCTCTAGCAGCCTAAAGAAGCTTGATAGAATTGCTTCAAGCCGTTGAGAAGGTTGCCTTTTGAACGCTCTTTCCAACGGTATACTTGCCGTTCTCCAAAACCGTCGGGGGACAGAGAGGGGAGCGTTTTAGTGCCGAAAGGTGTACTTGTCGCAATTGTCGCCGCACTAAAACCCATCATATCTCGATTTACACTGCGAATCCTGGATCGCGAAGGGCACCATTCGAAAGAGCGCGAAAAGTTCTATCTGCCGGACAAGTTTGAGCTCTCGAGCAGCTTTGCCCAGGCTGCTAGAGCTGTTAGAAAAAAACGTCTCGAAATCGTCCGCCGTGTTCAACAACCTAGAAGAAATGCTACCAAACGACCCCCAAATGAGTTGCAATCGAATTGGCACCGAGTTGTGCGAACTGCTCGAAAATGATGTTCATCTCCTGATTCGATCAAAATAGTCTAGTTCATATATTGCGGTCATTGCCAAAAAGCACCCCAGACAGCACCCCACAGAGCACCCCAAAAGGCACCCCTGGGGTGCTTCCGAAAGCACGCCGGGGTGCTTTCTGGAGCACCCCAAGGGCGGCTGGGGTGCTTTCTGGAGCACCCCACTGGGGGGCGGGGTGCTTTCCAGAGCACCCCTCTCTCGGCCGGGGTGCTTTTATTTCCACCCCGGGGTGCTTTTTGGGGGCACCCCGGGGTGGATTTGAAGCACCCCGGGGTGCTTTTTTAGAGCACCCCGGGGTGAAAATAAAAGCACCCCGGGGTGGGAAAAAAAGCACCCGGGGTGCTCTCTTTGGGGTGCTGTCCAACACTATTCTTCACTTTGCATAATTCGCCCGAACTGCGATCCGAAGCACTGAGAAGTGCTCCCTCACCCCCATTAAATAGGCTATCGCCACTTCCGGCGTATGCTAATTATTTCCTAACAAAGAGTTCGCCCGATTTTTCAACAAAAACTTAATTTTAACGTCGAAAATAGCATAAATTGCAAAATCTGGTATGCGTGCAGTCATCTCGATGCCATTACGCACCTAATGGCGTATCGTACGTAGCTTAAAGCCCTTCCCCTCATGAGTTATCCTCCGGACACGGTGACGGAAGTTGCATGCAAATGCACACTGACACACAAACACTACTTTTTTAATTTTAATCTAATTAAACTTCAAAGGAAAATTTATAAAATGACGTTAAAGTTTCAAAACCGTACAAACAACATTATAAACCGAGGTTTAGATCGTGAAATTGTTTTCGATGAAACATATACAACCTATACAAAAAATACCATCCAGTAATAAACTAATTTGTTGCTAATATGCAAAAAATACTGAATTAAAAAAGGAATTGAAGAAATATTAAAATAAATTATTAAGAATCAAAATTTAAGCAAAAAATTATTGAAAGATCTATCGTAATAAAATTTATGAAATAGCGTAATTACGCGACCGGAATCCATGGTAATCCAATTTCCGCGGTACCCTATTGAGCTGAAACATACATTTAAGTTGAAAGAAAACGAGCTGAAACATACAAACAAGCTCCAATGGGATTTTCATTAATAAACCGATTTGGACATGGGAAATAAGCTGAATTAATTGACTTATTTTCCAAATGTCGGAAATCATAATGTCGAAATTTCATAATATCGAAAATTCATAATGTCGAAATTTCCCAATGTCGAAATTTCATAATGTCGAAATTTACATAAGCTAAAATTCCCGGTTAAGTGCCCGAATTCTCGGCAAAAAATGTTGTCGGGAAATAAGATAAAAAAATAGAATGTGAAATATTTTTTGGCTAGGATTAGGCGGTTTCACCGGTAATATAAGCCTATGTAAATTTCAACATAATGAAATTCCGACATTGTGAAATTTCGACATTATCAAATTTCGACATTATGAAATTTCGACACTATGACATCTCGACATTACGAAATTTCGACATTATGATTTTCGACATTATGATACCAATTCGAATGAATTGCTCTAGTCGGGTTGTATTGCATGTCGTTATCGAACCATGTATCAGCATTTTGGCTGAAACATACCGATCGAACGAGATAACTGCCAGCAGCAAAATGCTAGCCGTCGAGCAGGCGACATCACTGGCCATGTAGATGTCACACATCAAGTTCCCGAGGTACCATTCCCCGTTTTGGACCTGAAAATAGATCTTAATAAATGTTATTTATGTTTTAGTAAAATTGCATCATTTTCTTCTATTTTAGCTATTTGACTCCATAACCGATTTTACAAATTATTTGGACCTCTTGTGGACGCATTTATTCCTGAAATATCTCTCCGCCAGCATTCAAATTTTTGTGAAACAGGTTTTTCGCTTTCAACTAGTTTTTATTAATACTGAGCAGTTTTTACAAATCAAATACGCAGCACCAGAGGAAGAATTCTCAAATTATACTTGCCAGGTATTTAGATTTTTATGAAACAGGTTTTTCGCTTTAAACCCGGTTTTGATAATTCTATAGCCTACTATTTTTTGCTGTTTTCTTTTTGATTCTCGATCTCAAAAATGCCTATTTTTAGCGGAGCATCCGTATGATTGATATTTTATTATCTTCCCATCATTTAATCAATTTTCGCTCATTAGCCAAACTTTCAATAGGAAGCAGCAGAGGACGAATTCGCAATTTAGATATATTTTTAGATTTTTATGAAACCTACTTTTATGCTCGCTAATATGACTTCTGGTTTTCAATAATTTTCGTTGATTATGGGTCCAAACGTCAAGACCATTAGTCCATCAGAAAATCTCCTAACTGGGTAAATTTTTTGACACATTTAATTTTTTATCAAAACCACGCGACGATTTTAGAATGGTTTCAATTTAACTCCAAACATCGACGAAAGGGCATGTGGCTCGGTCGCATTGCGTCCTTAGCTGACTTTTGCCCATTTCTTTGGGCCTTTTAACGGGCCTTCTTTGGGCCCTTTAAAGGGATACCCAATGTTTTGGCGGCAAATATATAGTTATGTATTCCGGGGAACACAAATAACGCGCGAATTTTGTGCGGTAATGGATGCCCAGTGCCGCACAGAATTCGGCCTCCTCTCCCCCCATGTGGCGTCCCTATCTCGACCAATGGCTTGCCACTATGGCCTAATGGATAGCATCCAGGTCTTGAAAGCGGGGGTCCCGGGTTCGACCCCCGCCCGCGTCATGGTTTTTGCTTTTTGAGCCCCGAAAAGGTTGGGTATCCCTTTAAAGGATTTAGGGAATGGACACCACCCTTTTACTGCAACATAAAAATAAAAGTGTTTCGCGAAACTTTAGCATCCACTTTAAGGCGTTTATCACAATGGGGTGTCCGGCATATCACCATAAATTTGATCCATAAAATGTTCGCTGGGCCAGCCTTCCTTCGAAAATTTTTATGATTTTGACCTTGCTAATACCATTCATTAATTATAGCGCCCAAGACTTTGGTTGTGGTTTTTCCGAAACATTTTTTATGCGTATATAGCTTTAGAATGTGATCTTACAAATTCGATTCAGGAAATTTAGTAGAGCAAGCTATTCTGCTTCGTGAATTATACGCTTACATTTCTGGTCCACGATATTTTGCGACAAAACATTTTTTTTGCAAAAAATAGCTTTGAGAGGTAATTTTTTGAAGCGTTTATCACATACTTATATTTTAGAAATAGGCAGCTTTTTGCCGTTTTGATTTAAAATATGAAAACTTTGAAAACGTACATGTACATATTATTATAGTACATAGACGTATCTTATCTTACTATATATAAAATATAGTAAGATAAGATACGTCTCTGTACTATAATAATAATAATAAAAAAAATAGTGTTTGTGTGTGTGTGTGTGCATTTGCATGCAACTTCCGTCCGTATGTTCCAGTCGCATCTCAATAGGGGAGGCAGTTAAGGGTACGTATGATACGTCATTAGGTGCGTAATGGTCATGACACAACTGCACGCATATGAGATTTTTAAAAATCAGCTGTTTTCGATATTAAAATTAGGTTTTTGTAAAAATCTCGCTCGGCCTCTTTGTTAGGAATGAATTAGCATGCACCGGAAGTGGGGGAAGGCTATATAATGGCGGAGAGGACGCGTTTTTGATTTTTTCACAGGAATCCAGGAGTTTATGCAAAGTGATGAAGTGTTAGGGTAGGCCGGGGCCAGGGTTGAAAAGTCGCGAAGCGGCTTTTCAACCCTGGTTATCATTAATTTTATTCCGGGAATGGAGTAGTTCGACGATTAGCTGACCACTTTTTTGGCCCGCTATTCTTTGTCCCGAAACAGACTTTTTTGGACACTCCGCTTTGGTATGTAATTTTTCAAGCATTTTCCAGATAGTTATGTTTTAGAAATAGACTGTTTTTCATTGTTCACATTCAAAATTCAAAATTCGAAAACGTACATGTACATAGACCGCGTAGGGCATGACGAAGAGGGCGACGAGCAGATCAGCCACCGCCAGCCCGAGGATCAGAAAGTTGATCGCGCTGTGGAGGGCCTTAAATTATAACGTTTAATCGATAAGAAAAACCCTAAAATCGAGTTAAAACAAATTGTATCCAAATTATTTCATGACATTTTTCCAAGGATCGAACTTTTCTAATAAAATAGTCTCTAAAAATAGTTTTAAACTATAGAATATTTTAGAGTTTTAAAATCGTTCCCAATTAAATGCGGTTTCACATCGATTTTTTTATCCATGAAAAACTTCAAGGCTTTACAAAATGTTATTAATCAAGCCAGCATTTTTCGCGAAAAATTTCTAGCTTTTAAATATTTTTCTAGGTTTTGTAAAATAGTTTTTATGAAAGAAATGTGGATAAATTCAATAAAAATCCGATTAAAATAAGTACTACGTACGTTATTAGGCATAACTCGACGCACGTTAAACCAGACATTTGCGGGTTTTCAAAAGTGAAAAATAAAACTAATAAAATAAAATAAATTAGAAAAAGAAACTTGCCCGGAACCGTAGCACGGAGACGATCACCAGGAGATTGCCGAGGATCGTGATGATTGGGATGAAGACGAGGAGAAGACCGAAATAATTCGTCTGCGAGAGGATTTCCTGAAAAAAAGCGAAAATCAGCTTTAGCCAAGGTTTGACTTAATTGGTTGAGCAAAAATAAAACCGGATTTTTAGAGTGGAATGAAACACCTTTTTTATTTGAAGTTAAATTCATCCATACTGAAATATTTTTTAATTTAATGTGTGTGACTCAAAACATTTTTCCAAAAAATAGGCAATGGCATTTCAATTCTACAAATTTTTCGCTTGACTTTCCAGAAAAATCGGATCTTTAGTCTTTAGGATCTTCTTTTAATAATTTTTTTGTTTGCGATTCGATAATGGCCAATTAAAACGATTGAAATATTTCTGAATTTACCGTGTCCAGTAACATGTTTTTTTCCAAAATCAAAAGGCTATGGGATTCCGATCTTTCTCTTTTTAGCTCTCTGCCCCCCCTCTCTCTGTCTCTCTCTCTCTCTCTCTCTCTCTCTCTCTCTCTCTCTCTCTCTCTCTCTCTCTCTCTCTCTCTCTCTCTCTCTCTCTCTCTCTCTCCCTCTCTCTCTCTCTCTCCCCACTTACATTCACCCTATCCGGCAGCAGTCCTCCCCCATCATCATCGTCAGGTTCAAAGAATATCGACGGGTCCCCGGGATCGAGCAGGGTCCCGTTTGTCCGGGAGGACATCCTATAAAGAAAATAAAGAATTAGTATTCTGAAATTTAGAAAGACAGAGCATGGAGAACATCTAAAAGAAGTCGAGAACATTCCGGAAAAATGTTGCAAGTTTATTATGGTACCGGTGGAGGAAAGGGAGTGTATTAAATTCAGAATTGAGAATGGTACCGCTGTACCATGAAAAGGGTGCTCGATGTGTAAAAAATAGATTATCAAGTCATGCATTGCATTATTGTTTTAATATGTTTCGACTAAAGACATACTTTATCAATTCGATACTGGCGCCCATTGAAGGCTTTGATTTGGTGACCAAAATTTTGCAGCTGATTTCGATGAAGGGTGAAGTTTAGTTTGAATTTAATATTACATTATTTTAGTCTGTCATTAAAACCCCTTACTATATTCTTCGATGCTCGACCAACGATCAACGACACATTAATTTTTCAAACGTTCGGCTTTACTTCAACCTTCGTGAAACATTGATTTGCACAGAGTAGTAGATCACTCACTGAGTGACAATATTAAACGTTTTTAGTGAAATTATTTGAAACATGGTTCTCGGCACAACGACAAAAGTTTAGTTAAAAATATAAGTGTTTGTCGTACCTTTATTAGTGTTATTTATAACAATTCCGCCAAGCCCGGAGGTTAAAACCTGTTTTTTTTCGGTGCTTGCTTGTGGTCCAAGGCACTTTCAGTTCAAAGGGTTTTAGTAAAAACGCAAGGTTGTGGAGGAATCGACGTTTCGTGAGGTAGAAATTTGAAATCCAAATAGGAAAAGCATTGTTTCTAAATTGTCATTTTTCCTGCCTTTACTGGCTGTAAAAACTTTAGAAAACTTTAAATTATAAAAATACAAAAATATAGAGTTTTCGAAATTTTTTAAAGCTTTTAGAGAGTTTTCCCACTTGGAAGATCGCTACATTTTGCTCAAATAAAATTAGAACACTAACGAACTCCCTAGACTTTCACGGGCTTCTACAAAATTCCGCTGCCGCCTCCCTGATAATGCAAAAGATCCTGAATCTAGCCTATTCTTACTTCTCGGTAGTTTTCCCATCCCAAAAATCATTTTCACGACATTCTTAAGAAAAAAAATAGTGTTTCAAAAAATTTTAAACTCCAAGGATTTTTCAAACTTTTAATTTTAGGCACAAATTCGAAAAACCTCAAAAATCGCTGCGAAATGTTAGGGTGAAACGGGGAGGGTCCAGCCCGACTCAAGAGTCTAAAAAGGCCGCGCTAACCATATCTCCACTCGGCTTCTTCTTTTCCACTCCGCTCCGGGGGTGTCCATAGTATCCCTGCGGAACATTTTTGGGGGGCCCGCCGCCTCGGGCCCCCCACCCCCGATAAATGCGTGTAATTTGTCGCCGAGCGGAATCCGGGCCACGGGGGGCTGCCGTGTACCTAGTCAGAAAGGGGGTCTCAACTCAAAAAGGAGGAAGGTAGACGGGTTGAAGTGATCAAAAATCGGTGGGAACGTTGCAGAGATTTTTTAAGAATTTCGGGGCTTTTTAAATGGAATCTAGCAGAAACCATTTAGGAAATTCACGAAGTTCATACGGTGCGTAACGTTGCGGAGATTTTTTAGCAATTTTGGGCATTTTAGAGTGAAGTAAAAAAGACAATCTAACAGAGACAATTGAGGAAATTCAAATCATTTGGGAATTCGGTACTGTGGCATTATCCGGTGGGAGGGGGTTTCCTGAAAGTCCAAATATGCCTAGTAACTTTATAGCAACTATTTTAATATTGTTCAAATACAAATACAAATACAATCAAATAATTTGTGGGTGATATTTTGGTTGAAGATCGAACATTTCTGCCTGAAAAATCGGTGGTTTAACATTTTTATATGTAATTTTTGAAGTTCAGACATTTAGGAATAGTGAAAAACAGAAAACTCGCCCCCCCGATAATGTGAAAGCACCGGCGAGATTCTCAACATTTTGTTTCGCCGAATTGAAAGCCGGGGCAGTGATCAAAATTCATTTTTCCATGTCGAATCAAGTTTAGCGTAGTTATCATAATTTTTCGTTTTTGTGTTGGGTATGCTAGCAGAGAGTTTGGGGGAAATTCTAACCTCTCCTAAACTTAAGCCAATCAAAGCCTAACCGGGACTGCGAAAAAATGTAACAAGAGCTATACAAAACAACGTTTCAGAGTTTATTGAACATCCCTGGTTTCATATTAGCGCAATGAGCTTGTGCGGGTTAAGAATAAGCTGCTTTGTAATTAATTTTCCGGATAATTCGTTCGTATCGTGCAAATACCGATCGACCATTCGAGGAATAACAAGAATACATACATTATAATATTAAGATTTATGTCATAAAGTTATAACTAAATAACCAAAATAAACATAAATAAACGCTCCCAAATTCTTGTGATGCAAAGAAAATGTTTCAAAATTATTTGACTACGCGTGGTTCAGCGCTTAGATAATACCTGTGTTCTTCCGAGTCGCAGATTCTTTCGGTTCTATCAAAATAGAAAAATCACGGAAAAAAATATTCGCCGAAAACAGAAAAGCTAGAGATTATTGTCATTTGGTGATAATTAAGAAAAGGGTGTTTCAAAAATATGTAAATAAGCGCTATTTAGAAAATCTGGCAATTCAGACCCGGTGGTTCGTGGAAAATCTGCATTTTTAAAAGGGCATTCATCAAATTAAAGCAGAAAAGCAAAAGATATAAAAAATAACCAGGGATTTTCGGCCATGACAAATATTTCAAAAATAATGGGGCAACCGTGTTTGCTGATGGCGCCAATTAATCATAATCAGACAAGCAAATTACAGAATATTGAAAATCATCAATATAATGAATAAAATATATCACTAAATTCCGATAGCCGTAAAATAATTCGTCAGGAATCCGGGGAGTGTATGCCGAATTCTGGGGCCCACCAGTGGTGTAGATAGGTGTCCACCGGAGGGCCCCAATTTTCGCCTCAGGTGGGAGGAGAGAGAGCGGCAGAGAGAGAGAGAGAGTGAGAGAGAGCGAGAGATAGCCGATTCTCTAGAAATGGGTAAATGGGGCATATGGTAGGGCCCTCAACGAGATTCCCCCTAGCTGCAGCGCCCCAAGGAATTCTGAAGAAACATTACAAACGGAATTCCGTGGGAAAATACATTAAAAAAAATTTTAAAGTGTTGTAGGAAACCTGGAAGGGCATTTTTCGAAAACTGGAACTTTAAAATAAAAACTGGTCCAATGTAAAAAATAAAAATAATGCTACCAAACTATGCAAAATTATTTAAAAGCATAAAAAATATGTTTCTAAATATTTTAGCCACTTGAAAATTTTTTGCTTCTTAATGGTGATTGAACGTCATCCGGGAAATCCATTCTTTTACTGTACATGATCGGAAAAACGAATTAATTTTGAATTTTAATTTAATGATGTCTTCTGGGCCCTTCAGGTTGATAACGCCACATGTAAAGGAATCCAAATCGATCAAAATTTACTGTTTGCGGTTTTTGATCGTTTGATCGTTTTTAAAAATTAGTATGTTAAGTTTGGAAGGGCAGGGCAGGAAGGGCCGAAAGAGCCATGCCCGCCAAAGGTTAAAATAGGGATAATCTTTCGAAAAAATCATTCCAAAATGCAGAAATTTAGTGGTATTAAAAGTGCCAAACCTGAAAAAAAATCGGTTTCAAAATATTTTAGCAACCCGAAATTATTTTTCTTCTTAATGGTGATCGAACGACTTCCGGGAAATAGCGGCTCTTAACGTCCACTCATCAGAAAAATTAATTAATCAAATATAGGCCGCTCATATTGTGAACGAACAATATTTAAAGGAATAAAAATAGTTAAAAATTCAACTTAACAAAATATGAATAGTCACCAAGGAATAAACTGTTTAAAAAAATTGGGCCATTTGTCAAAATGGCTTGCGTCCATCCCGGAACGTTCTTTTTTAAATAAGCCTAAAAATCTGCTTTTTTCCTTGTCGATTAATGCGAAATCTCTAAATTTGCTTGTTCCGGAAACCTAAATGTATTTTTGCCAAAATTGTGATTTGTATGGGTTTCGGATTAGCTTTCGGCCAATCTGAAAGGTCGCAGTTTTCAAAAACGGCAAGCCTCCTTCAGCGCCCGCGTTTTAGCGACGTAATTAATAAACAAAAAAAATCTTTGAAAAATCGGAAAGTCAGGAAATGCGAGTGAACGCGTAATACGACCAAAAAAATCTGTTTCAAAATATTTTAGCCACTCGAAAATATTTTTCGTCTTAATGGTGATTGAACGTCATCCGGGAAATACATTCTTTTACTGTACGCTAATCAGAAAAATTAATTAATTTTGAATTTTAATTAAACTAAACCAGACCCTTTTAGGCTGATAGCGACACATAAAATTCATAAAAATCGATCATTCAGCGTAACTGAATATCCGCTGGCGGCAAAATAACTGTTTCGAAGCGATTTAACCAGTTGTCAATTTTTCTTGCGTTAATCTTGGAACATTTTGTAGTGGAATCGCGGAAATACTGCAATGCTCAGTTTGGCGAAAAACTATATAGTATGCGAAATCTGTGCCTCGGGTCGCTTTGGAATGTAAAAAAAAATTCTTTGCGCCAGTTGCCCGAAAGAAGGTTGCAAAAATACTACCGCTGAATCGATTACATCGATTCAAAATTGGGATAAATAAAAAGTAATTAATGGATGTAATCTATTACAAATCTAAAAATTGAAAAGTTGGGATCAGCCGAGGTCTAAATAGAATTTCAAAACCCCGGATCTTTTTTTCCGAACAAAAGAATGTTTCAATAAATTTTGCAGCACAGTGAAGATTTATCGTGATAATTCTGGGCTCTTTAGGTTCATTAATTTTTTGATTGTTTTTAATTAATGGCAAATTTCCGAGTAATTTTTGTCTGTTCTTTTCATTATTTTTTCGCTAGAAATATAGTTAATGATTTTAAAGTATTTTTATTACTGCGGTTATAGGAAAAAATCAGCCCCCTACCGATAATGCAAAAGAACCAAAAATTTGAGT